AAAAAGACAACAAAGCAAAAAAACACAACCAAATATCAATATTTAGTATTAGCACATGCTTCAAATAACCAAAAAAAAAACCCAAATCCTTTCCTTTCCTTATTTTCCCCTATCACCAGTTTTTGCTGCTTTAAGACTTATATACCAAAATATCTTTGCTACTTTCATGATTTCTTTTAATTTAAAAGTACTCGGTACAGCACACATTTCCTTCCTTTTTAGTAAAGGCCTAGAGAACTGGAGTTTACTCAATCCTCACCTGACATCTGGGAATTGAAATTGTCAGGCAGTGAAGGTGAAATGCTTGTCAAAAAAGATGAAAGTTCTTACATCTTTCATCTACTCAAGCTTTCAATTTTTACTGGTTTTACATTATTCATTTAATTCTCCAACTAGTCTTTAAAAAACAACAAAACAAAAACCAAAAAAACCCACACCACAACACCCCCCAACATGGCCTAACAAGTTAACATAAAGAAGTTTGTCCATGTCAGCGCAAAGTTTAAGTTTTCATACAGGTTACGGAAATTCAGATTTGAGTTGTTAACCCAATACATCTTAAAAGTAGATAAACTGCATTAAAATTAACAAACACAACTTCCTGAAATCTGGAGCAACTCCAATTTGCAACAGCAAAGTGTCTGGCTACCACAGATCTATAAAAGCATTAACCTTCCCTAAAATGAAGCACATCATGCTCAGCCTGGTCAGCCTGTGTGCTCTCACTCTCTGCCTCCAGGTATGTGCTGCTCCTCCTTTCTTCCTTGCAACAGATCTAGAAAGCCCAAAGCCGCAAACAGTTAAATCAGCACCTTGAGTCTTTTTTTTGGCAACAGTGTCTGTTTCCCACTGAATTACTCCACTAACCCAACCTGTGCTGTATAGCACAGCGAGCTGGTGTCTCCCCTTGAATCATTCACATTTACATGTTCCTAAGCATGCTCCATCAGGCACTCGCATCTAAACTAGTATCACATCTTGTATCAGGAGCTGGCAATTTTCAGAGAAAAATGCAAAGCACCTGTAACGTACCAGACAGCTAAAAGCATAACTGTGAACAGTAAGGACATACTAGTCAGAAATGCTTCATTTACATCTGCGGAGCAATGGCTAGTATTCTTCTGTAGATGACTAATCCTTAGGGGCTATTAGTTACAGAGTTTTGGGGTTTGTTGGGAACATGACCCTCTCACATGTAGCCTATTCACAAAGGCCTGCCTTAATCCTTAAAGTACATCGCTTTCTTCCAAGTCGTACCTGCATCTATTCCAAGAGCTTTTCACTACTGTTCATCATTTTACACGTAATCGTATTTCACTAGAAGCAAATATCCATCTTCTCGAACCTCAGGTTTCTGATTAATTTGGTTATGTTTTTAATCTCCTCTTCTTCAGAGGAAAAATTTTGCTTATTTGTGCATGCCTCATTAACAAAAGTTATCCTGACATCACAGGACTTCTCAGCAACAGGATAAATTACCATGGCAGGAAAGCACAAGTCATTAACTCAAATGGCATCAAACACACAAACAAGCAAAGCAAAGGTGACATTCAACCATGTAGCCCCCTCTGGGGCACCCTGTATGGACTGTCATTAAAGAGGGTCATTCACTACCCCTATTACTACAAATACGTATCAATCCACCGTTTTTCTTCACCTTCATACTTCTTTCTGTTTGGCTATTTAGTCATGCAATTTTAGTGTTGCATTAATATAGGATTCACATTATGATTCCTGAGTTAATTTGCATATACCATCTACTACCCTATCTTATGTCTATCTTTGGCTTCATGCCTGGTTTCATTTTATTTTCACCTATACTTTGCTAACAATTTATGGCAACTATATTCACCATTTTCAGCTCAAATTAAAAATTTATATTGTGATATGTAGGTTTTCCACAGAAAGGATGGATTCTGTGCAGAACCTGTAAGTGCTGACCTTTCAAGGTAATAAGATCCCATCTTTTCTTATTTTAACAGTTATTGTTTAGTAAGTTATGTAAAAAAACAGGCAAGTATTTTTATAGGTCAGAGCCACATAAAACACAGTTTCAAAGTACTGATGCTAAAAAAGCCCAACAACAAACAGGTTCTGAAGTTAAAGGGTTCGAATAGGGAGATTCAGAAGCAACCCAGACAAGGAAATAGTTGTTTTTAAAAGGGCTTTCTGAGCAAGTCTCAACAGCAACACATCGCAGATCTTCCCACAGTACAGACCTGACGGTACACAACTACAGTCTTTCCAGAACCTAGTAAGCTAACTATTCTTCCATGGGAAGTTTAAAAAAGGCGCAGATGAATGTGAGAAATTAGCAACTTGAGAAATTTAAGCAACAGCTTAGAATAAGCTTGAAATATTAACAGCCTTCCATCTAAAAACATTATTAAGCAGGACTTGCACTTTTTTTGCATAGTGAACTACCTGTAAATCAAGCAAGGTGGTCCAAACTTGAAGTGCTTATTCAAAGTAGTAGTTGGCTACAATTAATCTCCCCTGACATCATGAGACGCAATCTTAATAGGGTTCCCCTTCCTCAAAAGCCACATAAATACTTCCAGCAACTACCTTGGCAATTAAGTTCCCGATAAGTATTCCCTCATCTCTTACTGCAGAAAGCCAGTATAGCTGTACTGAAAAATGAACGACCTGGAGAGAGGTCTCCAACGCAGGCAAATCTGCTGTTAAAAATCATGCAGAAGATAAAAAGGCTTCAGACTGGACACAAGGCTCCTCAAAAAAGGAAAGCTGGTTAAAAAAAAAAAAAAAAAATCAAGACTGTATTAGAATGCACTGGAAGCCAGCAATTTCTTAGGACACGGATGAAAAAAATCATGCCATAGCTGTTAAGCTCTACGTTTTCTGGAACCTTTGTTATTTCAAGCAACACTATACTTCCTAAAATGACAAAGATTAAAGTTTTCTTCCCCATCACAAAGTCTGCCAATGAAATAAGAGCTACAAAGTAAATGACAACTTACTCTCTTCAAGTGGAGCATTTAGAAGTTTGGCATATGGCATCCAACTCGGGAACAGAACGCTAACATTGCAAGGTCTTTGCTTGGCTCTTCAGCAATAGCAAGGAAAGATTTAAAAATAATTAACAGCTTATTATGAAACTTAATAGGACAATAGGAGAAATTTCTTTTAATACTTGGGATGCAAAGCTCATTTACCACTGCATGGCCAGCACAATGTTAGTATTGCAGTTTTGTTTTCCTTAGCTGAAGTCCAAACTAAGGGCACTTTTCATTCCTGTAAAGAATGATTTTACCACACAAGACCACAGTAACTGAATAACTGCAGGTCTTTCCAGCTTCTTACCTTGCACTTCGGACAATATTTTATTCACTTTTGTCTGGTACAGAGCAACACAGTAAGCTCTTCTTCAGTAAACAATGAAAGCAACCATAACAGAGCCTTACAAAAAACCTTACCTCTAGGTGTAGCAACTAAAACTACCTAAGAAGAAAATACAAGAGGAAGCTGATCTTTCAAAACCATTACTCTCATCAGATACCCATTTTTAAGAAGTGAACATGACTACATTTTATCTACACAGCTTTACAATCATTTTTGGATTAGGTAAAGCATAAGATATTAACCATTCACAGGCTAATAATCATCAGGTAACAAGCTGGGGGGGAGGGGGGAAGCAGGCAGTGGTTAAACAAAGAGACAAAAAATGGTTGAATTTGGTTAACTGGCAGGATGTTGTATTTAAGAATTCAGGACACCAATACATACACACAAAAGTTCCTCTGCTAAAACGGATTACCAACGTAGAAAGACTGATCATCTGCGAGTATTGGGCAGGTCAGAAAACCTTACAATATTCAAGCCATGAAAGCAGGCACAACGCAAGGTTTGAACCTTTCCTAATAACAGAAAGTTATCACTATCTGATGGCTACGCTCAAGACCTCAGCCAACAGCTGCTGCCCGTGCCCTGCACCCTCCCGAGCCCAGCATCCTTACCGTGACAGGAACACGCCGTCTGTGGCCTGAGCCACAGGGGCACCCCGCTACAGCCAGACTAGGAGGCGTTATCACTGCCCTTGCCGGGAAGAGGAAAGCAGGAACACAAACAAGAACGACGGCCAGGGCTCCTGCTCCAAAGCCTGCCCGCAGCCGAACACCTTAAGTAAATAAAACGATCCCCCCTCCCCTCCAGGAGGAGGCTCCAGTGCCGGAAGGGACAAAAGGAGCAAGCAGCCTGCAAGGGCGCTGCTGCACGCCCCCGCCGGGCCACCCAGGCCACCCCCGAGAAACCCCCACCTCCCGAGCAGAGCCCCGCAGCCCTCAGCCAGCTTCCCGCCCCCGGCCCCGGCCCCACAGCCTGCAACGCAGCCCCGTAACCCCAACTCCAGCCGCCCCTCCACGCCCCGCCGAGCGGAGCCCTTCGGGCCAGCTCCCCCCCGCCCTGCAGCAGCGCCCCGCAGCCCTACGGCCGCCCCCGCCGAAGCCCGAGGGCTCCCGCGCTCTGCGGGCACCCGAGCCCCGCCGCCCAACGCCCAAGGGCCGCGGGAGGCGCCCAGCGGCGCGGCCGGGCTAGGCCGGGGCAGGGGGGCGGCCGCGGCCCCCGCCGCCGCGCCGCGCCTCGCCTCACCTCGCTGCGCGTGATGCGGTGCCGCGCCAGCTTGACCACGGCGAAGTTGCCTTTGCCCAGCGTGCCCTCGATATCGTAGAAGCCGACGCGGACGGGCCCGAGCCCGCGGGGCAGCAGCGGGGGGGGCCGCCGGGGCTCGGCCATTACCATGCTGGGCGCGGGGGGCGGCGGCAGGGGCAGGGGCGGCGGCGGCTCCGGCGCGAGCGGCGGCGGCGGCGCGAGTCTGCCTGCGGCGCCCCGGAGCCGCGCCGCCCCGCCCCCTCCGCCCTCCTCCACCAACCGCACGTCACTGCGCGCGTCAGCGGGGGCGGAGCCTCGCCATGGCAACGGCGGCCACGGCGGCCACCGCGGCGGGGCGGCGGGCCGGGCCTCCCTCCCCGCCCCTCCCCGCCCCGGTGGGCCCCGCGGCGCTGCCCGGCTCGGGAGGGCCCCCGCCGCGGCAGGGTGGCGGCCCCGAAGCTCCCTGCGCTGCTGTGGGGATCCCCTCCCCGGCTCCGCCTCTGCGCTGTGGCCGGCGGAAAGCTCCCGCGCGGGCCCGGCCGCACCTGCGCGCCCAGCGTGGTTGTTTGAGAGGGGGTGAGGCCACCAGCAGCCCCTCGTTAGCAGGATGAGGAGGAACAACGGGTCAGGCCCTCAGGTGCGGTAGGAGCCTGGGCTGCTGCCCCTAGCTCAGAGACTCTGTGGGTACTCTACTCGGTTTCTTGACAAAAACACCCTCTCCCTGGCAGCGAGCAGCGTTTCCAGTGGACCAAGTTATTCCAGATCAGAAAGATGCCTTTTCTTAGTACATCAGCCTCCCCAAATCCCCATCGGCATTACACAATACTCAACTTGAGCACCGTGTGCAGTTCTGGGCCCCCCCAATTTAAGAAGAATGTTAAGGTGCTTGAATGCTTCCAGAGAAGGGAAACAAAGCTGGTGACAGGGCTGGAAGGAATGTCCTACGAGGAGCAGCTGAGGACTTTGGGCTTGTCTAGTTTGGAGAAAAGGAGGCTGAGGGGTGACCTCGTGGCTGGCTGCAGCTTCCTGAAGAGTGGACGTGGAGAGGTAGGTGCTGAGCTCTTCTCCCTTCGATCCAGTGGAATTGTTCAAAGCTGTGTCAGGGAAGGTTCAGACTGGACATTAAGGAAGCATTTCTTTACCAAGAGGGTGGTCAAACACTGAAACAGGCTTCCTAGGGAGGTGGTCGATGCCCTATGCCTGTCAGTATTTAAGAGGCATTTGGACAATGCTTTAACTTTTAGCTCTGAAGTGGTCAGGCAGTTGGACTAGACAATTGTGGTAGGTCTCTTCCACCTGAACTATTCTATTCGTTTCGTACACACCTGGACAGACAGAGTTGGAAGCTTTGTTAGAGGCTCTGCAGAGTTGACAACGTGTGAAAAAAGTTAAGGCCTTTTATGCTAAATTTCCTTTTGAGTACTAAGTCCACCTAGTCCGCTTTATGTTTGCACTTACACATTAGCTCGCTTTCATTTTAAAAAGGCTGTGCTCATTTCAACTCCGCAGCACTCTTCACTCTCCCAGTTCACGCCTATCCCTCTCTGCTTCATTTCCCCTGATCCATCTGCCGCTGAAGGGCTGGTACCTTTTGACATCCAGATGCCAGGAATCACCCCTGGAGGCTTTTCTCTGTTCCACTGACTACACAAGGCATGTCCAAGAGCCGATGGTACAAGAGCACATGTGTCTGTTGAATCAGCTGCACATTCAGCAACAGTCACAGACCTTTTATGAACACAGAGTGCAGCAGACACAATCACAGCTCTAAACAGAGGGTGGCCGCAAAAAGCGCGTGGAAGAATGCAACTTACAAACTTCTGTCTCTTGCTTTCCCTTCGTATACACATCTTACACGTAAAGCTGCCTCATACTTGGGGGAAGTTGGTTAAATCTGTTATGTGTCAAACAGCACTGACTGTTCTGCAATGGGAATTGAAGACCACTGTGAAAAGCTAATGCTTGTCCTTCACCGCACTTGCAGTTCATGACATTCCTCTAAGGAATGACATTTTGAGATGCTGCTTCTGACTTAGACTGCTATGGATAACAACCATGTCGTTACTGTTCTATTTACCCCCTTAAGAAGTTCTGGCAATGACTGACTGATGACCTGAGTTAGTCAGACATCCACGATTTTAAAATGATCTATAGGTGCATGAGGAAGTTTACCGTAATCCTACTTGAATAGAAAATGGTGTCATCCCAAATTGCTACTTGTGAAATTTCACTCCTGTTTCACCTTATAGGATGCTTAATTTTTTTCAAAAATCTGAAACACTGACCAAACAGTAATTCTAGCATCATGCAGGCTCGGTGCGTTAAAAGTAACGTTTTTCTACATTGTGCAAAATATTGCCTAATATTAATTCTCAGTCACTTTATTATAAAAAAAAAAAAAACTAGTAATAAAATATTTATTTGCTTCCTGATCGCTTTCATCTATGTAAAATCTTACTAGGCTGGTGCAAAATTAAGTATTAAGTCAGATTTTGTGTTTACAATAGAAAACTTTTGCAGAAATTTTCTTGTGCTGCACATCACGATGCCATTTTTGGCCTAAAAGTTCAGGTTACAAAACCATTTCTTAATAATGCTGCTGGAATAACTGCAGTCACAAAATCGTTCTTTGTACAGTACCCTTTAATGGCCATTGATGGCTTTTGCTGTGCCTCGAAGAAAGCGATTCAAATGCTTCTTACAAACCCCGGTATGGAGGAGCTCATCCAGCCCATTTTCAACAATCGGCTGAGTGACACAAACTGTGGAGTACACATGCCCTCTTGTGGTCAATGTTCCTGTACATAATACTACAGCCGTGAAGCTGTACTAAATGGAGGTGTCAAAGAAAAGAAATAACAAAATTACGTCGCCCTCTAATAACTTCCAGAAATACCAAGCGCATGCAGCTGACTTTGCCTGAGTTCAATAAGCCAGCAGCTCAAAAGACCAGGGCACACAGTTGCCAAAATATGGCTTTACATATTTACACACCTAAGCTCCAACATCTGGCTTGCGTTTTTTCCTCTCATTTCCTGTTTTTCAATGCCTAAAAGATGCTTAGTGCCTGCCAAAAAAAAGAGGAGAAACCAAGCATAGAAGAGTAAAAATGGATAGACACACATTTGCTTGATAAAAGGATGCTAATTACTGCATGAGAAACCCTGGATATTGCAGGCACCTGGAAATCACTACTCTCCTATACCAGAATTTTGCTTTTCAGGAGAATTGATTGCTAACTGGGTGTCATTTTCAAAACAGGTAGAGGTTTCTGGTTTTTTTAAAGGGATTACTTCTTTCAGGGCTTCATCTCACACCACTGTCTGGTGGAAGAGCAGTATAGGATTGGCAGACACTTTGTGATACTGCAGATATGCAGGACAGAGCCACTGTGCACATCAACCTCACCTGTAACATTCAGGAAGTAAGAGAAGCAGCTGTGACAACTGACTGAACTATTTCCACGTTTGCAATAGAAATAGCACACAAATCCAAAAAAATCTTCCTGCATATTTACATTGGCAGAGCGCACTCATGGCCATGTCTTGCACTCCTTTCTGTTGTTTCAGTCCCACATAAAACACTTTCTGCCAAAGCCTTTGGCACACCTTTTTTTACTGGTGGCTTATGCAAATTGAGTTTGCTTCATTTTCCTATTTATTTATTTCCATGAAATGGAAAAGAGCAAACTTTTAGGGAACCCTATCAAAAGCTAAATTAATTTCAGATGCTTCATAGACAGATTTCTTTGGCAACAAAATGTTGCTCTCCTGGCATTAGAAATATTTACCTGCAGAGCAATAGGTGAGTAATATTTGTGTTCCTGCTTGGCATTCTTTATTTGCTTGCTCATTCTCTCTCCATTACTGGGTCTCTGATCAAAGAAGAAAAAAAATAAAACCAAAAAGCAGATGGATCCAAAACCTGGAGTTTAGCAAATCTCTAGTGTAAAGCCAGACAAAGCAGCTATAGTTTGTTGTGATTTTAACAATGTATTCTGAAGAGTTCTAGTTTCAGTAAGTATTTCACAGTGTCTAGATTGCCTCAACTTGCACGCTTCTTTTAGCTCAGCATTACATCTTGTATGCCTTCAGACATAACTCATCCAGCAGAAGACTGTCACTTCACTACCACATCACATTTCTGTCTGTCACAGTGTACACAAGGTACCCCAAACAAAGTAAATATTCTTAATGAAAACATTCAACCAGGGAAAGGAGATGAACAGAAATCTTTCCTTGCCACAATACTGCAGGCTATTCAGTAGGGGTGTTTGGCTGAGAAATGACTGAGTTACATGGCAATATTCAAGATTACTTAAGACTTCACTCAATAAATCTGAACTAAGGATTTGCACAGTCTAGACAGGGCTATAAAGCTCAAAAATTTCCCTTGGCTGTTTAAATCATAACACTGAGGACTAACTTTAGTGAGAAGTAGTTGTCTTGCCACAGTAAGCACTCGTGTGGTCAGAAGCCTTGTGCTTGACTATCTATGGACAAAAGCATTTTTGAAAAGTTGATATAATTGCAACCAATACAGAATGACAAATCTTGGGGTGTTGTGGGTTTTTTTTAATACACAGACAGATAGATAAACAGGCATTTACTCTATTTTTATTTGGCTTGTGAAAAGGTCAAATGTGATCCAACAGAATGAGTAAAAAAGATTACTTGATATACACAGGGCCAGGTACCAGAACTGCTCAACCAAATTGTATCTTCAATCAAATAAATTCTTATACATAATGACTTAGTCTAGACGTGCTTCAAAAGTGCTGCACAGATCTGCTGGATGATAAAATTAAAATTTGGCAAATTACCAGGCCTCATTATTGTAGTCTCAAAATCACTTCAGAGTCACTTGTTTTTAGATTCCAGGCATCCCTGGAAGCCTGTGAAATGCTGTTATTTCTGTTTTCCACATGGGACTCAGACACTCAGTAGTTCAGACTGATAGTACAGAGCCGAATCCAAATGGCCCCAGATACATGATAATGTCCTAAATGTTTTCTTCAGTGCACATGTCCAGCTTCCCAAAGTTCAATGTACTTGGTTCTCTATGTGGCACTCCCACTTCTTTCTCAGTTCAATGGGATGCAATCAAATAAAACTCCATTTTTAGGGAACAGCTCCGTTGCTGGAATAACTAAAAACAGAGTAAGTGCAGACAAAGCAAAACGTGCTGGTTTACTCAAAACCAAGCAAACTTGCCTTGAGAATACATAAACCAATGTATGAAACAGCTATCAGATAGGACAGATAAATCTTAATGGCCTAACTTCTCAGTGATTTCTACACAAACACAGCTACGAACACGCAAAGATCCCTTGCAAGAAGCTGTACAGCTCTGCAAACCTCTAAGCATATTCCTGACTTCGGTATTAACAGCTGGACTCAATTCACTTAAACTCAGACTAGTTCTGCACTGAAAAAAATCCAGAGGCCACACTGCTGCTATCAGTACTTCATGGTCACTGACCGCCTTAGAATCTACCACTCGCTACAGAACTTGTGCTCCAGACTCCACAGGTCTAGTTAGCACCAGTGTGCTTAGGTAAGGACAGACATCTTTAAAAAGCAGGAAGTGCAAAACAATGCTGTGTTATCTGCCTATAGACTGAAGAAGCTGAAGACCACAGGAGTGGATTGTGCCTGTTTATTTCAGTGTGGGGAATCTTATATTTGTAAATGTACTTTGTTTTGGAGATTCAGTATTAACATGAAACATTTTACAGGAAGTAGTCCTTTATGGAACCAGATCATGTGCTTATTTGATAAATCCCAATTCTCTTCCTATTCCTTTCCAAAACCTTGGTAATTGCAAGTACTTCCGACTTCTGCAAGTTTTACAATAGAATTCAGCTACAGCAAGCCCATACCCAGGAACACATGGGATTTTGCCCAGAGCATGTTCAAGTCAATATGAATCTCAGTTTTCATTCAAACTCCTGTTACACTTAGCTGCACTGAAAAATGCAACAGTGCAGAGACGTTATCACATGAGTTTGCTCCGAGCTCCTGGGAAGGTGGTTGAGTCCTTGTAACTGTGAGGCAAACATCGATCTGATCACATCTCATGAACAAAATATGAATCTGAAAGCCCCAGCAAAAAACAAGTTAATCATGATCCCAGGTTGTCAGCACTGCTCCCGAGTTCCCTTTGCTGCGTTTCTTCTCAGCAAACATATACAGCAATGCTCTCCGTACTACATAGCATAGGAAATTACAAGCTTAGACAGGAGATCCTGGAATGTCCTCTGTCTAAAGCATGGAAGATGAAAACTTGTTCATGCGATGAGTTCAGAATCAAAGACATCTAGTTACTTAAGAATCCATGCTGATGGGCAAATTCTGTACCTTCTTGATTGCAAGTCGTGTGGTATTCAACTCGATGTGGATAATTCTAGGTAACTCTTCACCAAACCACTGCTAGGTGAGCACAAATTAAAAGTTGCGTGCCTAGCATTTTCTTTAGTTTATTTGCTTTTCTGCATTCTCAGTAGTAAATTACATTATCCTCCCAAGCAAAGACAGTGTTGTGAAGAAAGATGCATGGAACCAACCTTCCTTCTTCTCCAATATATATTCCTTATTCTTGTGATACAAGTGATCTCTTGAAGTGTGCTTTGAAAGGCCTTAAAACATACCAGTGACCAAGTTAAATTCAGTTTATCTTGGAATAGTTTATCACAGCTATTTTTAACTTCCTACACCAGAAATCTTGTATGTATGTACAGTTGTCTAAAATAACTATACATTCTCTGTTCAATAAAGAGAAATTAAACTCAGTGCAACCCTTACAATATCTTGTTAGCCTGTTCTGGCTCCTTATACCCCTTACACATGATAAAACTCCAGCCTGAAGTTGCTTCTGCAGGTATTTGAGCAGGTCTCTCATACCACTTTCATGGCAACTGCATACTCTTTATTTCTGCTAGCTCCTTAGCAACTTTATTAAATGTGCTGCATATAACAGTGAAACGGAGATAATGATCTGAAAAAAACCCTTAGTGTGAAGGATCATCTCTTGTCTCTTTCCCTTAGAAGTCAGTGACCTACAGACTGTGAATTCTTTCTGAGGTAAATGGTGCGGCTTCATACTGTGGCTTGCTCCTCATATTTAACAGGAAAATTCTCATTTCACCTAAATTTATATTTAGTCGTGTGGCAGTTGCTATGTCCTGCTGCCATTCATTTCTATTCCTCCAAAGGTACAGGAAAATGGTAGGTATCGAATATTGGCTTCAAAACGATGCCTTAAAAACTATGCTAAAATAAAGTATCATTCCCTCACACTGTCAGAGAAGAAATTCCATGAACTATCCTCAGTACCTCACCTTAAGAATACTTATTTAATATACATACTGGAATACGTAAAGTCCTTGAAAATAGACAGCAGATAGTTTATTATAATTGATTAGCATGATACTTGTCAAAATGCTGGTTTTGATCCAATTCTTCACATTCACCTACCTTTTCATAAACTCCATCTTTCTGTAGATTAACATCAGAGCGTCAGTCTTCATGGAATTCAGTACATGTCACAGGCCAAAGGAGGAAAAAGATCGAGAATGAAAGTGCAACTGGCTGTTCCTTCTACAAGAAAGGAATTGGTACTCAACTTGTTATTTAGGCCAAATCAGCACATCTGTGGACAGCTAACCAGGCTGCTGTAATCCCTGAGACCAATTGGAATGCTTTGGCGGACCCCATTCCCTTCCTTTAGCATTGCAGAGAAGTCCCTTGTTCTCTTCTTTGCAATTCCTTTTGCCAGAGGATAAAGGAGGGAACACAGCCTTATGACACCAAAGTGTTTACTGGGATTCTTCGAAAAACCACCTCATGGTGTAAGCAACACCCAGTTATATGCTGTGACTCACATACACTGCCTTAGCAGTAAGAACTAGGAGGGTGGGCAAAAAGCAGAAACCACACTACTCTCTTGTGAAGTGGCTGTTAGTGCCAGAGGCCTGTTTCCAACACAGCTGGGATATAGACTGACATGGAAACTGACCAACCTGCAACCATGGCAGCTTTCTTGGGGAAACATTTGAGAATCCACCTGTGACCAGTGATTGACTTTTGGCTTTTAACATCTTTGAAGATGAGTAGGTCAGTTAAATATGGACTTTGGATCGTTCTTTAGTTTCAAAGGCCTATCTTTGGCATACAAAAAAGAATCAAGAGTATTAACAAGCCATTCCTGGGGCAAAGGGGGCTTGATGCAAAGCAAAATATGTACATGCTTTTCTGTTTGGATCTTTAAAAACCCTTATTCTTTCAAAAAAGAGAATAATATAGGGACAGTGCAAAACCGGGATAAACATCACATATACTATTACGAAAAGAAGTGTATAGGGAGGGCAGGTTAACTTGTATTGACATTCACTTTGTCATCCGTATTTCAGGCGTTTTTTGTCCATTTCCTTACTATCCATAAATCTCATTCTCCACCCAGGCCGATTCCTTGCTCCTCCCCACATGATCTCCACACAGCTCATAGATATCATTGGTCACAAAGCCACTTTCAGTACTGGCCAATGTCACAAAGCCACTTGTTGATGTATTCATTACTACATCATCATAATCCCTGGAGAGGCTGTCAAGCACCGTATCTTCCTGTGTACGGAAGGAAGAATTCTTAGTGTCAGGCCTAGTTCCAGCCAGATCTGCATCTGATTGTTTCTTGATTACTTTATATATATCCAGATTTGGACTGTTCCTTCCAGGGTTAGACAGCCATGCATCTTCCTCCTTCGGGCTTGCATCTAATTGCTCCTGTCTCCTTAGGGATGGAGGAAAGAAGACAAGTCATAATACGCTTTTTTACATAGGTAAATACAAAACAGTATCACACCTCTTACAGTAATTTGTGACCCCTGAGGAAAGCTGACACTCGGAGGTTGGACTCCGGATGACATTTGTTATTACTTGCCATTCTGGGTGTGTGGCAGCAGGCTGCACACCTGGGACAGTCCCGTGGCAGGACATGCTGAGGTACCCTCTGCTGAAATGCTAAGGCAGCAGAACTCAACACTGACATCCCCAAAACCATAGCCAGCATCCCCACAGGAGGTACTGTGTACCCAGGGAAAGCAAGGGGAATAAATTGGTAAATGTTACGTGCTCCAAACATGTATCCTTTTATTTCTATTACTGGTTTTCTCTTTTGAAGGGGTCTTCTGATAATTCAAATGTTTTCTTTACTAAGAAAGCCCAAGTGCTAACACTTCAAAATTATCAGCTTGTTTCACACTATTCCCAACCTACTAAATGTCTGTGAGCATAGTAAAATGGCGTAATGTGATTTCCTTAGCATTTTATTTCACAAGTAACTCAGCCTGGAGCTTCCGTGCTACTTTTTAAACATTTATTTGGTTGAAAAAAGTCCTCCTCAGAGAATCTTACAGGATCTTGAAGCTAGCTGTAGAATGATTGCCAGGACAAGATATCATGGGTTCACTTGTTACACAAAAATGTCACTTACCTCCTTGCAAAAAGCCAAAAACAGAAGATGGCTGTAGCAACCATCAGGAGAAGCAGCACAGGGATGCTGGGAATAAGGATGTAGGCAAGACTGTGAACAGGTTCTAGGGGTAAAAATGAGATTCTGGCTTTTATTCACTTCTAATTGCATCTGACATGCACAGAACTTCACAGAAGAGTTGCAAAAGGCAGCATAATCACACCTCAATGGGCTTCTAGCCTTGTTCATAATCTAGCAGTATCTACTTCTCAAAGGCAGCAAGTCTAACAGAGATTGATCACCTAGTTAAGCAGGTTAAAGTAAAATAAACTCAAATTTTCAAGGTGAGGAACCAAGCCTCACTGTCTCACTGTAAGAAGGCAACGGTAGTGCAAGTTAATGATATGTTGTCTTTTAAAAGCTTAGGAACCCCCAGCCAAAAGATTTCAGAGAGCAAAATGTCTTTCATGATCTGTGAATCTATGGAGGGAAGTCAGTGTGGCAAGAAAAAATTGTAACTTCTTTATAGTTAATAATAGACTTACAAACAAAACAATTTAGATGTTCAGAAGTTATTCAGTAAACTAAAAATACCTTTTTCAGACCCACAATACTTTGCACAGCTTTAGATTTAGAACATTTTGGTGGTCAAAGCAATCAGTTTAGGTTTGTACTGGAAAAAGATTTGAGAGAAGTTTTGTTTTTTTTTTTTCAGATGCAGTTGTCTAAATTCAGTCTTCTACATTTAGGGTCAAACAGTTCAAACTGAAATGTTGACTGTTTGTAGCTACATGTGAGAAAGGTGGGCCTCCACAGTTAGACAGACCAGGCCGGCTGTTGAATGCGCAACATACCTTTGGTTTCTACAACTGTTACATTAACATCTTTCTTATGGCGTTCTTCTGGGAATACTGGGTTCAGGGGCTCTGTTGCAGCATCTGGAAAGAGGCAGCTTTATTAATGTTGCAGATGTTATTTGAAAGAGTTTAAGAACCATAAAAAGCAAGGGTGAGAGGAGATTGAAGAGGCTGCCTGCTGCAAAGATGTGTAAGGTGTACTGGTACTCTTTGCTTAGATTTCTGCTGTGTCACCAGCAGTCCCACATACAGCATCAGCAGCCCCAAGACTGTGTTCCTGCAGAATGGATGATATAATAGCATAAGGAAAGTGCAAACTGCAGAGAAGCTTCTTGCTCAGTAAGTTTTGAGTCCATGAGTGTCCTTGACAATGAACGTAACAGAGTACTTCTACCAAAAGTTAGTATATCATTTAAAAAAGCCCCAAGCAAGTATCTGGAACTTACCTCTTTCAGAATTCTCTATTGGAGCACTTGTTGGCTTCTCTAGAAGAAAAAAAAACATACACAATTTCCTCATAAGCTTAAGTAGGGAGACCAAGTGTACTGAATATAATCTAATAACATGAGCACCCTTCTTTAGTGGTGTCTCTCCCTCAGGCCCCATCTGAGATTTCAAAACCATTATAAAAATCCTCTGAGAATTCATATAGGTCACAAGGCAAGTAGCTACAGATATTAGATATTGATACTGTTTTCCCCACGACTTGCATAAATGTAAAGGTATGCGTCTCCCACCAGATCTTTCCAGTGAAGCTAAGAAAGGGTTTCCCTATCTGTTATTGCAATCTCCTCATACATCCTCTTGGGGACTGTGAGCTGGTTGAGTTTTAAAGCTACAGAATGACTCATTACCAAGAGAATATTTGCAAATGAAGTTATTTTTCATGTTGCATCTGTCATCATTCCATTGAAACATGTAAGGACCTCCGACACCTGGTGGGGCAGATGGCTGGTGGTACATCACAACACAGATTTCACTCCCACAGGATGGCTCATCTACATACCAGTTCCTAAGAAAATACAACAAACATGTCAAGTAAGACTTGATGTCATTTTCCATCATACTGCAGAAGCTGAGATGGGAATACAGCATACAGGGCACCACAGAGGGCAGAACCAAAGAGGATTTCAGCTCAGCACGCCCCATCCCTCTCACTTCCACTGTGTAAAAGTAGGAACAATAACAATACAATTGTTTACAGTGTATCTTTTCTTTTTGGAATTCTTTATTTTCAAAGACGACTAAGCGAGCAAGGTGTTCAACAAATATTAGGGAGTGAAGGGCTGAGTACCTCGCTCCCTGAAAACTCCTCTGCAAGGCTGAGTAAAAGCCCAGGAGAACTCTGACTACTTCTACGTAATTTCAGACCTGTGTTAAATCATCTATCAAAATTATTTTGGGTCTCTGGCCTCAGTGCCCAATGCCTGCAAAGTTTTAACACCTATTTTAAAAGAAAATAAAAAATCTAAAGCAGGATTGTTTTTTCTCTGTCTAGAAAAACACTAACATGAAAAAAAAACGTGTCTTGCAAATAATAATTTTTTTTTTTTTGTAATAATAAACTTCACCATTGAAAAACTGTAGGCCTTTCCAAGTAGTACACAGGAAGGAGGCTTCACTACTTCGCACTCCGTAATACAATTGTTACTGAAGAGGCATTTTATGCATCTTAGAGAAACACTTCTAAGACTGTGTCCTAATTTTGAAAAACGTTCAATACCCATTGATTTTGGAACAAGCAATTTTCTGCATGCCAAGCACTTTCTGAAAGCCGACCCATACAATATAAATAATTCCAGATATACTGAGGTATTCAGCGTGGGAAAAACCCCACACATTAAAGCAGTATTTTCTCAATCGTTACAATGCTGTATTCCTCCTTCGCTTCCTTCCTCCCCTAGTGTCCCCCGTCGCCATGCCCCTGATCTTTCCCTTGGCTTTATCATTCAGCATAAGCAAGCTGTGTCTCGCCAATGAAAGGCAATAAAGCTGTGTGTGTTTCTTAGCAGCAGCAGATCTGGTTCTAGTTTCCTATTATCTACTCCCAGTATCTGAACCACAGGAGAAACTTTAATATATTGAACAGTACTAAAAGCAGTTCTATTTTACTAATTCCTGCACAGAGCAACTAAAATTTCTTATGGGTTCCCAAAGCATAAAGTTCACAATAACAAGGTATTTTTACACATATCCAATATAAAGAAGAATGCTAAGGCAGACTTGTCATGCATATGACGTGTTGACATAAAATATTAAAGAACGTTTAGGGTATTTAATGAAATTTGCAGTTCCCATCACTGTAAACAGAGCAAAAAGTTCAGGATAACAAGTGAACATTGTATAGTTTGATTTTTTTAAAATAACTTTAATCACAGGTTCAACAGTAAATATCTACCCAGCAAAACTCTCTTGAACCTGTAGTCCATTGTAGAGCTGGCACCTTGTTGCTAAGGCTTTCATCAGCCCGGCAATATTTAGAGATTTTCTACTTCTGTACCACTGAAAGGCAGCCCTTGCAGGCCTAGATCTAAGCATATCTTTTGTCTAGAAGACTGTGACTCACGATTGAAATTAAAATCATAATTTAGCAGAACTTTTGAGGCTAAACACATTTTGCTTCTATGCTGAACAGAAATGTGAAAGTAGTGAAAACAACTCCAGCAAACTTGCATTGGTTGTAAATGTTGTTGTCTTTATAATTACAGCAAATGCTGTGATTCTGCTTGCCTCAAAACAGGGAGGCAGAAAACTAGCAAGTATTGTGAAAATTTTAATTTTTCATGTCTACAGTAAATACTGCAGCTCTCCGATTTACTGTCTCACAGGAAAAAAAATGCTATTTCCTCAGCAAGCAGAAGAAGGGCCATTCGCTCAGGATATTGGGGACAAAAATTCAGGGGATCTGAGGTACAGCAACCTTCAGGTTGCATATGCAGGAACATATTTTGTACATGCCTAACTGGAGATTTTTAAGACCAGATTGCTTGTTCTTCTACCTCCCTTTAGCAATTAATAATTATTAATCTAGCCCAAACTAGACACTCTAGGTGTCTTAAATAGAGCAACAAAGAGAGAGGAGGGTCTGTAGAGGGTAATTTGTCTACCCCTTACAACTGGATGGGATGAATCACTCTCTGGAGATACTCCCACTCGTCAGTGACTGCAGGAGGACCACAGATGACAGCTGGGACAACACCGCTTGATTCTTTTGAAAGAATCCTTTCTGACTGCTAAAGGCAGGTGACAGTCTCACTCACAGGTACCTACCGGAACTTGGATGAGCTGCCATCTGACCAAGAGTAGAGGTTCTGACACTCTGTACTATTGTCTACCTCCTCCTGTTTCCTCCTAAATCCTATCCAAAAATCTCCATCAGAAGCTAAGAGACTCTCAATGAATTTTTCAATCAGTCTTTGCTCTGCTTCTGTTTCAATACTGACTAGATGTCCACCATCAGCTCTGCAGGCACGGTGCGCTTCTTCATAGCTGATCCTGCGTGAAGCATCATGAAAATAAACTATCTTGTAGCATGGTTGCTGTGTTCCACCCCGGCAAACCGTCTGTCCTGCAGAAATGCAAAGAAACCCGTTACAGAAACTATGCCTGTTAGTACCCAAAATGTATGCTAATGCTTCCATTTGGCTGAGTTTTGCACTGTATAATTTATATGGAAAATACAACATGGGTAAAAAGCTTCTTGGACTGGCAAATGGCACCTCCAAACTTTTTTTACTGCATGTAACAGTTTAGGTTGATCTGCACAGCACTGTTCTTTCAGGTCCTGCACTTCTCAGCTCCTTCATGAATTTTCTGCGATTTGAAGACCCGAGGAATTCCTTACAGAGAAGCAATGCTGTGCCAGAGAGCAAGCTGACATACGCAACCTTTTAAAAATCAAGTTCCTTTACAAGGGTTTTTAAAATTACTATTATTTTTAAGGAATTTAAATGGGTAAAATCAGAGCTCTCCTTACACAAGCAAAGATAACAATAATTGATCTTCTGGGGTATATGTCACAGTTTGATGGAGTATATACTGCAGCGTATCAAGATGTGTTCACACACTCCAACTGCAAGCATTGCTCTCTACTGTAATGCTACTGACTGCCCAGGAAGTAAACAATGTCTGTTTTCAGACTGTCATAAGTCAAGGACTTTCTCATACACAAAGCAGCATGGCTTATTTTGATTACAAGGAAAGTAAAGATCAAACTGAAAAGACACATAATCTAAAATTATGCACTTGTATGTTTCTCAGAAGAGTCCCAATATTTAGAGTGTGGAAACAAACAGTTTAGTTTTACTCCATAAATATTTCTTTTCAAACACACAGCAGACACAATCTGCTAATCTACATGTTTTTACAGAAGAAAAACATTTAGCAACATTTGTAATGTACTCGGAACAAATGGGATGTAAGGACAGGTCATTATAAACCCCTCCATGGGATATATGCTGACTTCTCTTTCTTCTTCTATGTTCCTGCATGGCCACTCTTAGGAGTGGGAAATTAAACACCTTTCGTAGTGGAATTTTTGACCAGCGAAGTACTCAGAATCACAGAGCCCGCTAACATTTTACACTGAAATTAAAACCAGCTGTACTGCAAAAGCAGCATTTAAAAATACATCTCTAGGCATAACCAGTGGTTCTCTTGGTAACTTAACACTCATGCAGGCTTGGTGAAAAAAGGCAAAACCCCTTACCTCTTCTGAGGGATATGTCCACTGCTATTGTGAAAGGCATAAGGAAAACAGACAGCACCATGTTACCAAAACACTGCAGCAACTGTCTAGAAATAGCGTCACAAACCGCACTCGGGTTCTTCTCTGACATAAAAACACTTTTTTTTTTTCCTGTTAACTGGCAGAAAATCTGTCTTGTCAGCCAAACTTACCATTGCTTTCAGCTAAGGAAAAATGTATTATAGTTGATTACTGTCTGGACTTCATTGCCAGTTATGTTCCTAAATATAGCTTAGGTAAGAGAGGACAATTGGACACATAGCTCTAACCAATGCTGAAAGGGTTTCTTCTATTTTCCCCTTGTCTCCTCATCAGCTACATCGGATCTGCCTCAAAGCCTGCTGACTTCAACGAGCCTTGGTAATGGAAGACTAAGGATGAGCCAGTTAGGCTGAGAAGCAAAAATTCATGAAAAGAAAGAAATCTCCAATCCCACAGCTGGAAGCTGAGCCCTGTAACTCACTCCCACAGAAGTCCTACTGCAGACAAGAGCATGGTAGAATTCAGGCTGTATTTATAGATATAATAAAACTATTTGCCTTCTGTTGGAATAACATGAACGTTTCACCTGTGACAGTGTTGAGGCTTTCTGCTGAATATACCAAGCCAGGCAGAAACTCCCCCCCAGACTGGCTATTCTGCGCCCTAAAGCCAGACCAGACTACCTGGTTTGGGTACAACATCCAGAAACGCTGCTGGTCCAACCCTGAGCTCTCGCATACCTATTCCTATGCAAAGCGTCTCAACAGGCGACATTTCCTTGCACAAAGCCAGGAGGACTGACTGATCATCAAAAGAGACCTTGTAGAGGAAGAGCGAGACAACCTAGTTTCGGCTGGAAACTCAGCCTGGCCGGTAATCACCACCGAGGGTCGGATGCCACGAGGAGTTCTGGTAGCCGCGGCAGCATTTTAAATCCCGAGAACCGAGCAGAAACGCAGCAGCGGGAAGACTAAACCGGCCCACCGGCGTGGGCGCTTCGCGACCAGGGACGCGGGGGTGCTCCCACCCAACCCGGAGGACGCGGGCGGCGTCTCCCCGGGGCAGGGCTGGCTCCGGCTGGGCAGTCGGGCGGGGAAGACTACGGCAGCAGGCAGGGCACGCACGTCCCCGCCGGAGTCGCAGCGGCTGCCCCAGGAGCGCCCCCCCGCCCTGCGCTGGAGGGGAGAGGCCGGCGGAGCTGCCGTGCCCGCCCCGGGCCCGGGGCCGAGACCCGGCCGGGGCTGCGAGCGCCGTGTGCGGCACCGCGGCTTCCCCGGCGGCCTCGGCCCGCCCCCGCGCCCCCCGCCTTACCGCTGAGCAGCCGAGCGCCCGTGGCCCAGCCCAGCGCGGCGGCGCACAGGGCCGCGGCCGCCAGCATCGTCCCCGGCTCCGTCGGCGAGCGCTGGGCGCCCGGCTGGCTGCCCCGCCGGCCCCATGCGAGTGACCCGCCGCCGGGCGAGAGGGGAGGGAGCGGGGAGGAGCCGGCCCCTCCTCCCGCCCCGGGCTGCGGGCCAGCGGCTGGGAGCGGGCAGCGGCGGGGGCCCGGCGCCGGGGCCCGGGGAGCAGCCCCGCCTGCCGTCTCTCTCCGGCATTTTCAATTCCGTTCTCCGATTTCGTCTGCCGTTCCCGCCGCGGGGCGGGGCGGGGCGGGGCAGGCCTCCCTCCCTCCCTGCCTGCCTGCCTTCTCAGCTATCCTCGACCGTATTTCAGGCGCCTCCTCACTGCTGCGTGTTTCCCCCCGGGCCAGGTCTGTAACTTCCCTGCCCCACACTTAAAGGACAAGGTGAGAGCACGGGAGACATCTCCACCCAGCGCAACGGACGAGTGATAGAAACCACCCCTGCAACCCCTGAGGCCAAAGGCTAACCCTCCCCGTACTGACGCGCAGCTGCTTGTAGGAGAGTGCTTCGGGACTAAGAACAGAACACAGGAACTTTGTTTCAGTCAATAATAAATGCTGAGCCTGCTTCCCGGTGGCTCGGAAGCTGGTGTGCACCTGCTTCCAGTAACACTGGCTCTCCAGCTAACGTTTTACTGGCTCAGCCTCTAGGAGCTTTTCGCAGGTTGCAGGAAGGGGTAGAGCATCAAAATGAACGAATACGGGAGCTAAATTTAACTGTTACGGTCTCTGCTCAGACTGTTACTAGCTGCAGTCAATGTTTTAAAATAGGAGATTAATGATTTTATGGAAGATTTAAAACCTAGACCAACTCTTGGGAGTCCAGTTGGAGAATCTATTTCTGAAACCAGTATCTTAAATAGAGAAGGATCCTTTAAAATATCACTAAGGCATTCCAACTCCAGATCACCAGAAGTTAGGAATCTCAGAGGTAGGTGTTAGAGACGAACTAAAGCTATTGCTTTGCAGCATGTGTCAAGTCTGTGAAATGCACCCATCAGTGGTACTCCAGAACTGAACTTCTATATTTCTTAAGTCCTTTGTGATCCAGGTTTGCATTTAGTAAATAACTAGGCACTTGCCCAACTTTACAGACATGAGCAATTTAAGTGTTTTCGTGAACTTGAACGTGGACTAATATTTTGGTGAGACAGTTTTGCACTTAATTTAACTTATTTTAGAAGACAAAAGAACACAAAGTGAGGTATGTCCATGAAAATGACAGATGCATTTAATGCTTTCCAAAGTGTTAGGTAATATAATTGATAAATGCCTCAAATACAGGGAAGAACTGAGCTTCTGAACTGGCTAGCCTGAGTTGTAAGACTCAAGTCACGACTTCAAGCAAGCCAATCTTTGTCATCTTGAAGCTCCACTAGTACGCTAATTCTTTGGAGAACTTTTGACAAAGGAAATCCTATTTGGGGAGGTTTTTTCTTGTTTTGCAGGCCAAAGTAAACAAAATAATTACAGTGTTTCTAGAAATTAAACAAAAACTCACCATCTTCACAGCTGCAGGTGTTTTTGTAAGACAACTTAAGACCCCTGCTAATCATTTTAGAAGTCTATCCTTTTTTCAGCATGTTTATATTCTAAATCCATTAGAAAGATTTTCTGTAATGGCTCTGAAGGAAAAAAATATATTTGAATATAGCCATGGCAAGTAGTAGCAGCATTATCAACGTGCTTTCTTGAATTACTAGTACATAAATATTCTGCCACTTGCATTTTACAGCCTCTCCCATATCAAAAGCACAACTGAGGAATACACTGTCATGACAGCAGCAAAGTGATTACCAAAGATTTTGCTAACTTAAGCAGGAAAATGGCAGCAGCTGACAGAAGCCTTTGTTGATCTATTTTTAACAAAGGTCAACTGCAAGCATTCAAACACTATATATAACACTTGAAAACAAAATTTACTGCACAGCCTTAACATTACTAGCCACAAACTTTTGTTTGACCTGGTTTCTACATTTGTAAAGGAATTTCCAAACATAACCAAAGCAGTTGCTCTCCATTTATAATTTTGGTAAATTTAGCACACATGAAATGCATATATTCAATTTAACAGCCCCTTCAGATCATAGAAGTGTGCCATTTGGAAGCTGTCTTTGGAAGTTCAGAAGATTTCAAATCCTGCAAGTCAAAATTCCCAGGACCACAGATTTCCATAGAATACAAGGCTGCAACTGCCTAGGTACATATTTAGGTTCTCAAATATTTTAGCATTATTATTTCAAAATCAAACTTTGATAATAAAGATTTATGCCAATGTTAGTCAGGCAAAACTGGTACTTTAATTGAGGTAGAGGGGTGCATATATATGAGAGCACCAGAATAGAAAATGTGTTTATCTGAAGCAAGTTATATCAATAGATAACATCGGGCACAAACCTGAAGAAAATATATAGTCTTATAGAAAGATGTAAGCACATGTCTTTCCAATTCTAGAATTCGAAGCATCCCAAATGCTTCACTGACACTTTTGCTTTTTATTGGCCTTTTCTTTCATGCTGACAACTTCAAAAAACCCGTAAGTGAAAAAAAGCATTTTCATTTTCTATACACTGGGAAGGAAGTAAACTGAGCCCCTCACTCTGTCTCACAGTATGTTGGTGTACTGTGTACTGAGCAGAATCCAGAGTGATTCTGAGCCTTGATAACCGGCTCTCGGCATGCACTGTTCACTGCTGTAGTGCCAAGGCAGCAGGAAAGCAAGAGGACAGTAAAAACCTCAGTGTTTCCAAGATCATCAACAGCACATTAGGAACTAACAGCTTATTAAAGAAATAAATTATAGAATTTAAAATGTTTTGGAATTAAGCATTTATTTTAACTTAAGCAAAACAAAAACATTTATGGATAGGCTGACAAGTTGCTGCAAGCCCACCCACAGCCTTTGTCACATTCATGCCCTGTCTCAGTTGAAGCAACTAGATATGTAGTCAAATGAGGAATGTCCACGGCTTGAAGTCCAAAGCAGCATGGTTCCAATAGCAGGATATATTTTCTGGGGCAAAGAAACACTTTATTCTCTCCATCAGACAATTTGGCTGAACTATTTAAGGGCCTTTACTACTTCTTGATCCATAAGGTCAGCTTCAGACACCTGCCTGCTGGAAATAACAGAACTGTAGCAGATAAAGTAAATTGTTGATGGGGTGGCTGCAGCTAATCTACTTGAAACATCAACTGGTTACAGGCACACTAATGTCCTGCAAATGGTGTGAGCTTTAATTTTTTGGCCAGTTCTACAGAGAAGAGTCAGTGCGGAATAGCTGCCAGGGTGCAGAGTTCTTCAGCCCAGTCTGTGTCATCGTGTCAGGTGTTTATATATGTATCTAAATACACAGATGCCCTGTAAATGCCTAGATATGTGTAGAAAGCAAGAATCACAGAACACTAGTTCAGAGAATCCACCCAAAAGAATGCCCATACAAGTATCAGAACTTACAGAAAAGTTGACTGAGAAAATCTTCAAAGGCAACATACAGGCTAATGGAAAAATCACATTTCATCACGTGAAGAACTGCACAGGATTCATATTCCAAATTCCTCAGTAAGTTCTACACACAAGCACAAAGCAGCTGGATGAAACCCTTTCAACATGCACATACTGCATTCATGTAATTATATTGCTAAAGGTACATAGCTTATTGTGAGATTTTTTCTGAAAGCTATTCCAGTATAACTCCCCATAGGGATGTAATTATATATCAGTATAGAAGTGCTTTATACTTGCTTAATGCCTTTCTCTAAGGAAGCATTTTTTTTCTCTTTATCAGCACACACAACTTTACATTGATAGATCTGTATTGATTTGTAGATTTAAAATAATGCAGATTCATTACAAAAAACCCATGCTGCTAGTTAAACAAAGCTAAAAAACCCAAAGCACTGAACTATTTAAGCTATTTCCCCTGAATACTGGTAAGGAATAAATCATTATTTCTATTTTTAAACACTTGGAAAGTGAACACCTATGATAATACATACACAAATCATGAGTATGCTGAAAACAGAAAAAAGAGCAACAAGAAAAAAGAGGACCTACTGAAGGAAAAAAAGATCAGGAGGAGAGTGCTTTCTGTCCATGGAAAATATTTTGACAAATGTAGCTCTTCTCAAATTATGAAATACTTTCTCAGACATTCATCTGAGTTGCCACTGGAAACAGGGATCATCTTGGTCAATACAGGCTATAAATATTTTATGAGACATTAGTAAAATTGGTATGATCATATTTCCTAGTAATGAGTGCTAACAGACCATTAAAATAATACAATTATTCTAATTAAATAGAGCAGTAATCAATACCCTATACTCTGGGTGAGTTTGCTTCTGTAAATACAGCGATGCATATTTTTCAGATCAAAATGTTTAAAAGAAAAAATTAAATAGTTTATTAAACTGGACTACAGTTTTCTTTACAGGCCATAAGCTCTTCCATAAAGCATGAATCTTAACTCTCCCCATGCAATTAACTATCATTTCAGGTAAAGAGCTTCGCCAGTTGTCCTTGGCACAGCTGCAAGACAGTTTAAACGTTCCTTCTGTAAGTATCTGATGATGGAAGGAAGGATTCTCTAGGTTGTTCCCTTATACCTACTCCTGCAGCTGCTTACCTCAGCAGACATCACACCTTCAGCCTTTTCACTTGTTCCAGATACTTGCATTTTTCCTTTATAGCTAGCTTTGGAGGTATCCTAGGTTTGAGTGAGTGGTGGAGGTTTTTGGTAGCAGCGGAGGGGGCTACAGCGGTGGCCCCCTGTGAGAAGCTTCTCGAAGCTCCCCCGGCTGCAAGTCAGACCCACCTTTGCACCAAGACTGAGCCAATTAGCTGCACCTCTGTGATAACGTGTTTAAGAAGGGGACCTGGGAGGATGAGTTGGAGTTGTGAGGAGGAATTGCAAGGGGAACATCTGTGTGAACACTGAGGTTAGTGAAGGAAAGGAGGAGAAGGGGGGAGAGGTGTGCTGATTCACACACACACCCTCTCCCCCACCTCCCCCCAGCCTGTGGTGAGACGTCAGGGCTGCCCCCACTGCCACCCATGGAGGTCTATGGTGGAGCAGAGGCTGACCTGTGGTCTGTGGAGGACCCCATGCTGGAGCAGGTGATTATGCCTGAAGGAGGCTGGGACCCTGTGGGAAGAAACAGGCCTCACTGTTGTAGTTCAGTGCTGGGAGGATTGCAACATGCTGGGAGGACCCACACTGGAGAAGCTTGGGAAGGGCTGCAACCTGTGGAAGGGACTCATGTTGGAGAAAGTTTCTGGAGGACTGTCTCCTGTGAGAGGGGGACTGTGCTAGAGCAGAGGGAGAATGCCAGAAGTTCCTGCCACCCTGAGGTGGAAGAAGTGGCAGGACAGACCACACAACCCATTCCCTGCCCTGTGTACTGCTAGGGGTGAGGAGGTAGTGAGATCAGGAGCAGACCTGAGCCCAGGAAGAAGGGAGTGGTGGTGGGAAGGTGTTTTCAACATGTACTAATGCTTCTCACTGTCCTACTCTGACTGTTAAGTGTTGTTGTTAGTGTCTGTATTTAATTTATGTTCTTTTTTGTTCCCCTAAAGAGTCTGTCTCCGTAACGATGCCTGTGACCATAATGGGTGAGTCACCCGTCCCTGTCCTTGTCTCGATTACCAAGCCTTTTGCTGTAATTTCTCCTTCCCGGCGCTGGGGAAGAGAAGGAGGGAGTGAGTGGCTGTGTAGTGCTCAGTTGCCCTCTGAGCTCAAACCATGTCAGGAAGTAAGAGTCATACTAGAAATTAATTCCACCTAATGTCCAGTATTTTCCTGAGATATTTGATTTAAAAATGAATTGTCAGTCATTTCTCAGTTTACATATCCATATGTTAAGTTGGAAGGAAGATGTAAGCTGCAGATTCATTGCTGAGTCTTTAAATTGTGGCTTTTCAATGACACCATCTTGCTTAAGCTGATGCCAGTGTAAGAAAAATGGCTTCACTTATATAATTTAAATGGCATTCATTAAAAGGAAGAAATTGCTGAATCAAGGGCTGTGAGGTACCTTGTCAGCATTTTCAAAGATGAGGTGTTTTTTAGGAATAAAGAACAACTTCACAGTAAGTATAGCTGTTCTCTTTAACTCTTCACACTGTAGCTTAGCCCATGGCCCAAATGTACCTTTAGGACTGCCCTCATAGCTCCTATCTGACTGACACAACTGTGTTTGAGGAGGGAGATTAAAGTTTTGGGACAGACAAAGCAGTGCTTTAAGGGCAACAGCAACTGCCTCAACTTCACAGTACATAGTGGAAAGTATTAGCAGTAAATGTGAAAAGAATCAACTAGCCACTACTTAACAATAATAAAAATGTCTACCCTGAATTGAGAAATGACTTACATATCAGTTAAATAAACTGCTTTTTAATATAATAATAATAAAATTAAAAAAAAAAAAAAAAAAAAGAGAGAGAATCTCTGGGAATGACAGTGTAAAGGGGAAGTAAGCGCAACACTGTATGTAACCAAAACATGTTGTAGTTCTGCTGGGGCAGTTTTTCAATTCTTCTCAAACCCAGACTAACAGTAACAGTGGATGACCTTAATCTTGTGTTTCTGCTTGCACAGTCCCTACCTGACAGCTGTGGGGATCCTGTTTATTGTAATACTTATTGACACTAGAAAGTAACAGCATTTGGCAGGAGGTTGCAACCAAATGCCAGAACATAACATAACCAGATTGTCAGTCCTCTCAGGCCTAATGTTTGTTACAAATTAAGTAATCCTCCAGTACCTGTTTTAGCAACTGTTGCAGCTATGTTGCCGGCCTAAATTTAAGCAAAGTCCACTTCACATCATTTCATCCCACATATTTCCAAAGTCTTCAGGTATTCCTCAAGGCTTAGTTTACCAGCTGTATTTGACAGACCGAGACAATTTCAAAAGGGCCCCACAAGAACGCTGCAGTGCACCCAGGCAGAAAAATTTTCAGGATCAAACCCTTGCTCTGGATTTGTGTGTCAGTATTTGTAAGACTGACTTTCCAAAGAATTTGAATGAGTCATCTCATGCAACATGACACGATGATGTAATATGCTATTTTGGTGATATATTTTTGGATCTATAGCAGGGCAATAAACATGGAAACATCTTAAAACTTGGAAAAATATAACTGAAGAAAGCGTCCATACAGTGTGATACTACTGACAAGGTCACACTGATGCTTCTTCCTTCATTCAGACAAGACATGGGCTGGAAAGAAACAGGCTTTCTGATATTTCCTGGCCCTTTCGGAAATATAGAAACACTTTGACAACTGGTCTTTTCCCGGACTTTCTAGTTTCCAACCAGAATAGAAAAATTAAAGTCTTGTTAACTTTTACAAAATGTCTAAGCTTCTACTTCCTTCCCTTAACTACTATTTAGAAATAAATGGAACATATATAGAAAGTAAAGTAGTAAAGTACGGAACAATAGCATCAGACTTTCATCTTTTTAATGTCTAAATTTTATAATAGGTATTAATATAGGGTAACACTGAGTAGTTATTTCCAAAATAATAATAATAATTGAACCAGAACATCTTTGGCCCCAAAATAGGGCTTGACTATTTAGACAGAGGAAAAAACAAAATGAACCAAAACAAATTAAGTATTTTCTTTACCTTACGTGATCGGTTTTAATCTTTGGTTTATGTGGATGAGAAATCAGCTCTTTCTTAAAAGAAAGAAAACTTTAAAAGTTAAGTTAAAATAAAGAAATAAAAAGTTATTAATTATCAGTAGTTCATTCTAAATTTACTGTTTATCCTGGAAGACAGCTTTATACAAACACTGAAACAAAAGACTACACTAGCAATAGTAAAGAGTTTGGATTTTTTAAATGTGCTAATATGGTACCTGAGTAGTTCAGAGTATAAAACTGATATGAGTTATTGTGTCAGAAGGAAGGAGACTCATGTTTTGTTTCAGGCCTAGCTTTAATGTATAGAATTTGGATAAAGTAGATACACTTGGTTCAGCATTTCATTAAACTTTGAGGGGAGGAAGTACTTAATATGAACCAACCTAAAAGCTTAAATAAGGAGGAAGAAAAAAGGAAGCTTTTATGTCTAAAACAAATACGTCATTTCTGAAAGTACAATTTGAAATCTTGTTTTCCAAGTTACTTCTCAAATCACTACAGTTATCAGCTTTAAAATTTCAGTTCTACTCTCTACTACTGAGTAATTAAATTGTATTAATTAGGATATGTAGTTCTTCAGAAGGACAGATGTTTAACCTTATATGGGGTTAAAACTCATTTATCTCTGCTTTGTATCTTGTGGATTACAACTGAAGGAAAGAAGTGCCTTAATATAATATAGACCTCTTATTCTTGAATTTTCTTTTCCTGATAAACATCCAGCCAGGCCAAGCAGAACCATTATAAATAAGTAAGTCTAGAGTTCACTACTGATAATAATAAAAACCCCTAAATGGAGTTTATCCTTTTATTGCTCAAATTTAGTTTTATGAGAGCTTTTTAGGGAGCAAAGCATATGAAACCTGCAGCCTGTTTAATAACTTTTTTTATAAACTGACTTTCAATGTTTCAGTGGAAAAAAAACGAGACAAAAATGAAAAAAATCAAAGCTGTAAAGATTCATTTGTCATATTAAAATGACAAATTTAGACATTTACACATAGTTGTATTAAAATTGGTTTAATTTAAATAACTGATGTCTGTTCGTTATGTATCTCTATATAGAATACAAGGTCTTCAGCAAAGTGCTGCAACATCCTCACTGCCATTCTGACAGCATATAGTCACTGCTTCTACTGTATTTCCTTTCTCAGGCTCAAGTTCTTTTAGTTTTTAGGATTCCACACTTTCTCATATTTTCCCTTTCCCCACCTGCCTCCCCCAGTGAGGTCAGCTTCAGTTCCTGTCTGCTTTTCCCACAAGCATCTGCACATTTTCTGTGAAAATTTTGATGTACCCAGTCATCCTTTTGAGATAGTTGCCAGACACATGATCGATCCATTCTCAGCGAATATTCTGTTGTGTTGGAGAAGGTAATCAAGGCCAGTGTGTTGTAGCTGACTAAATTATAGATATGCCCATATAAAAATAAAATGTAGCATCAGTCAGTTACACCTTCAAACACTTTAAGGTATTTATAATATCACTGTCTTACTCCTTGCAGTTTTCAGATTGGAAATTTTCAAATAACTGTATTTAGCTCACTTAAACTTCATTTAGCTTCTATGCCCATTTCTTCCTCCTGTCTGGCCTGAGACTTAACAGAATCACACAGCCTACAGGATCCTCTTGGCTTAGGGTATTTGTTGAATAAAACCAACTTTTCTGCATGCTTTACTCCGTTCAAACTGAGGAGCTCTTGCTGTGCAAGACTGATATCATGGTATAGTTTGCAAGACCCCATGAACCCCCCCATACACTGGACTATGGTCCTTTGAAAACTGTCTGTATTGTCAGCATGCACAAACCTGGAGATGCATCCATAAAAAAAGGAATCAGATTTACTGCAATCCTTTCTTCTTTCTGTTTCCTCAGTAAAGCCAGCATTTCTTATCTTCTCTGTCCTGAAAAGAACTATATTTACCACAGTAAGCTCAGAAAATTTAATTAAAAGCATCTAATAGTTAACTTGTTTGTAAATTTTAAATTCCTCATTGAGGCTGAGAACGAGAATGAACATACAGCAGGAACAGGCATAACAGGTTACTGGATACAGTACTTTGATTTCTCTTTCCTCCTGAGATCCTGAAAGCATACCACTTGGGAAACAAAACTTCTCTTCCTAGATTTACATCAGGTTTGAAATAATAATTCTTTCCTCAAATCAGAAGGAATCACTCCAAGTGTCAAGATGAATAAACTATACCAAAGTTAGCAAGTACTATTCTGTAGCATCTTGAGATTATAAATTTGGGGTAATTCAGAACTCACATATGCATAATGACTGATTACAAAAACCTTTTTACTTGAGAGGTGGAACCAGATACGACTTTTGTCTTCAGTAGTCATTTTCGGGTTAAGCCAGTCTCTGCTACTCTGTAGAAGTGATTTTTCAAAGGTAATAGAATTTAGTCTGGTTTTGAACCACAGAATATTTAAAGACTCTTCAGTCAATGGTCCAGATTATTTTCTCTACAAGAAGAAAAGTACATATCCTAGAACTTGTTAAAGCTCCTCTCTTTATACATTGGGAAGAAAAAATAATTTCCTAGGGACAATAAATTCCTACTGAGAATTTTTTAGTATTCTGATTCCCAGACATCTGCACCCATTTGTATGTTTTTGCCTTATGGAAATTAATAGCTTTCATCTACAGTGACACATCACTGTTTAAGCTGAGTAAAAGCATATTAAATTATTTTCATAAATTCCTAGCAATTTGTTATGAAACAGACATTCCAGGATGTATTTTGGGAACACCCTCAACTAATGCCAGAAAGGAGCACATCTCAGCATACGACTAAAAAAAAAAGAGAAAAGAAAATAGTTTCTTATTTGTTCTTTTCTATCCAGAAGTGGTTAAGAAAAGATGATGCAAAATCGATGGGGAAAACTGTTTTAGTGCAGTGGATTCTTTTGCCTGTTGACAATTCTTTCATGCAATTTGATTTTAGAAATTAAGCAATCATCATCATTTAAAGTGGTTTCTTCAACAACCCTTTCCAAATTTTAATCAACTTTAAGCACAATAAAAAAACCTGCCAAGTTTTTTTTTTTTTCCCCAACAGATTAATGTAAATGACAGCACCCACCCATTACTCTAGAATTTGAATTCTTATCCTTCACTTTTATTCCCCTTTTACAAGAGGGAAGTAAAATACTTGAGGTGATTAAAAAAAAAAGCAAAACTGACCCACAGTCTTATATCATAACAAGAAGCTGTATTTGTATTCACTAGTATGGGGACTTAATATAAACACAATACCCATGTAAGGCAAGGAGTATATGCCTGGGGGGCGGAACCAGGTTCACCCAAGAGACCAGATCATCGGGCAAGTTCATGGTGATGAGGCAGTACAAGTTCAAGTCAGGAAGGCAGTCCACAGGTCAGGCTCAGTGATGGTACCTTAGAACTTACTAACTAAAGATAGCCAAATAAGACCAAGATCAAAAGTAGCCAGACTGGAAAAATGTCTAGCAGTGCAAAGATCTCTTCAGACAAGCTAAGCATTCCTATTTTAGATGTATTAAACTGATTAATCAGATTTGTAGTGTTTATAATTTTGAAATTTCTTCGTTAATCACAAACTATCCTGTAAAACCTGTGGAAATTAATGAATTACAGAGTAGTCCAGTGAAATAAACATCCAAAGGACATCAGCTTTTTTGCCATGTGCTTCACTACTGTTTCTTATGAAATTAGTTAGCTAATTAAAACCAGCATTTCTAACAAATGAATTCACTGTCAGTTTGTGAAAGAACAGTGTTAATGCAGGTAAGCTTTCTTTCTAAAAAACTCTGTCCCTCTACCACTGTGGAGACAACATTCATTTCCCAGATCTACACGACAGACCTTCCAGGTTTTGCTCTCCCAGGCGACATGGTGCAGGAACAGCATGTCTGAATCAAGTCTGAAATCTGGATTTGAACAGTAAATGACACCTATAACTGATAATAATATGAACATTATTCTTATTTCATACAGTGCATTAATTTTATTTTTCTTAGACTTATGTGAGGCACGTCCTGTAGTTGTATAAAGTAATTTACTGATTGCAATGTATCTGTCATCTTTAAGGCTGCCAGATGCTAAAAGCTGCAAAACCTTGCTATCATCTGTTGCTACTGGATTTAGAAAACATGAACAGAAAACTCCGGGAACTGTTGCTATCTTCAGCCAGAATTCAGAAACAAGGCTAACTGATGATAATGGATGAGATACATTTTGGAATTATTAATTGGAAAAGGAGGATTGCTGACTTGCAAGAAAGACTTGCAGACCTCAGCACCTTTCTGCACCTCTTGCAGATTGCTCTCATCTGGCCTGCTTCCCAAATGTAGTCGAGAGGCTTTTCAGTAAAAATATGCAACATTTTACTAAAATGAGAAAAAAAAAAAGTATAATGACAGAGTCAGGCTGAAAATATTATTACAATATTTAATACTAGTTGTCTTAGTTTCCATTACTTGTGTGAATTGTATTCACAGTATATATGTGGAACACTAACTCACCAGTTAGATTAATAGGAGCTTCAGCAGAAGTTTGTATCAGTGTCTCAATAGCAAGCACAACTGTTGTCTGCATCTTCTTTTTCTTGGCAAAGTAGTAGGAGAAACCCCAAAGTCTATATACTTGGTCCAATCCCACTGTTTTGCGGGAGTGGAACCTCAGTGATCTGCATACCATGTCACTTATTTTGCCTCTTTTAATGACCAATTTAATACTCAAGTCACTGCATAAACATGAGTATATATACCTCATAGCATGCTAAATTTCATTGATCCTATCTACCAATTACAGATTACAGGAACTGTTAACTAAAGTGCTGAGTGGGCAGTTGCATGCCAGATGGATGTTAGCTTTTGTAAAACTCCATGAAGTCAGCAGGCTCTGCATAGTCCAGAAGGATCCCACCTGAAAGGCACTACAATATCCCAGTTACACCTTCTTTTGGAAAGAAAGCATCATCTGTAGACTCAGTTTTGATGTTGTGTGCTAAAATCTACAGTTTGTTCTGCAGCTAAGTAGTTTCTACAAAATTTGAAATTATTTGGTCAAGCAGTGCTTGAATTATACCTCTCTCAAAATATCACCTAAACCTGTCCCTGAGTGACAGGCTAAGGCAGAAGTATTTCTATGGAAGCTGATTTAATTACTGCCCACTGCCAAATTTCTTGCATCTCTCACTCAATGAACTCTTGGCACTAGCTGCTGCTGTGCACTGTCTAATGGAGAAGATCTATTAATAACTTAGACGTCTAAGAAATAAACTTATGCTTTGAGCTGTTCTTCAATGTCTCTATGCCAGGATTTTCTGTCTGAAAGCGCATACAGCACTGGTGTTTTTTTCCCCCGCAAATTATCCACTTCTGAATCTGGGCATTCTCAGCTGGCTACTTTTAGATATTAATTCAGAACAGACATTATGTGCTTACTATGAAGAAATTAAGTACACCGCCTACTACTTTCAGCCTTGCCCCAAGCCAGCATAACCCAATTGGGAATAAGTTTAAGCTAACCATCAAGAAATGGGCTGCATCATGCAAATCACACAGTGGGCCATGTCCAGGCGATTTTCATTACTGTTCATCATGTCATTTCCCAAGTTCCAGTATGCCACCAAATGACACATGGTGAATGGAAGTATTTATGAAAAAAGAGTTGGGATCTGCGGTTCTTACCTGCTGAAGATCTTTTGCTTTAGTTTTCCCTATGCTTTGAACTTCTCAGAGTCTTTCTTTCTCACTGTTTTTCTCACTTTCTAAATAAGACAAATGAGAGGCAAAAGAGCAAGTGCTCCTACTACCTCTGTCATTTACAGAGGGCAACTGAAGCTTAGTGTACTTTGGGGCCATTCAGAAAATTAGTGATCCCGGTGTCTGGATCCCAAGTTAGTAGGTATCAGCTGAAATATCTCAATTGTGGACGCTAGGGACTGTGGCTCTTCTGCCACCCAAAGCTTATTAGCATGAGTCATTATTCATTCCTGAGAATTCATTCCTCCCAGAAATGTAGGCAACAAAGGTTTAGCAAGCTGGGGGCACGCAGTTGTGAGCTGTGGAGAGCAGTACTTTCCTCTGGAAAGTAAAATCTCAGTAAGGGTGCCTGGGAAGGTGTGTGGGGGGGTGGTGCGAGAAGGGCATGAGGCCCTGGAGAGGTGGGGAGCGGAGTCTGGAGAGTGCGCAGGGGTTAGCCCAAAGGTGTGGGGCTCCCAGGAGAGCACAGGGCCTGGGGGGGGGGGGGGGGGTGTATGAGGTCCCGGGGAAGGTGTGGGGACTCCAGGAGAGGCGTGAGGCTCGGGAGAGGGGCGCTCAGGTGAGGTGCAGGACCCTGCAGAGAGATGTGCAGCCCCAGGTACACTGTAGGGCTGCAGGCAGGGCCTCCTCCTGCGGCAGGGTCGCCTCACAGGGCAGGGTCTCACTATAGGGTGGGGTCCCTTCCTGGGCAGGGTCCCCTCACATTGCAGGGTGGCAGGGCCTTAAGGAGGACTCAGGTGGCAGTGGGAGCGTGGCGGAGGCCCAGAAGTTGCGGGCAAAGCCCACATTGGCTGGGCTGGAGCCAGCAATGACAAGGGACCCATTGGGCGCTATCGGGTGCTGTCCCGACTCTGTCCTCGTGGTGCTGCGTGAGGCTGTGTCCCAGTGTCCCCTCTCCACGAGGTGGGCCTGCCCTGCTCAGCCCCTCTGCTCCTGCCCTCTGGCCGTGAGGAAGCAAGAGGACAGTGGGAGCCTGGTGCTGCCTGTGCCACTGCCACCTGCTGTGGTAGGTATCCCTGACCTCTCTGCTGGAGCCCTTCCCTTTTCCTTGCCATCACTGGCATCTGCGGCCAGGAGGGAGGACTGTAGTGAAGGTGTGAAGCCATCTCAGAGGGGACATAGCAGCACAGACATGCCTGAGGAGCCTGGACCCAGCTGTATAGTAAAGGACACACTGCCTGTCACAGTAAACATTGAAAACCAGATGGCTGACCAGATCCTGCATCTCATTTCAAGTGTCTTCAGGCCATTTTCACTCAAGTCTAGCCTCGTGTGTCTCTATGAACAGGAAACAGCTGCCACCACAGACCTCAATTTTATTTATTCAACAAGAGTAAATGGAGGTAAAGGTAAAAACCGTGGCCTTCGACAAGTGTAAGGCTGAGTCAAGCAAAATCAGAATGGGAGCTGATGCCTGCAAATTTTGTGAAGAAAAAACCTTTTGATTTGTTCTTATGTTTTTTTTTTTTTTTTTAGTGTCCTGTATGCAAAACAGTTGCAAAGGAAGTGTTTCACACAGTAAGGTGCAGTTAAACTGGCTTGACAAATGCACTGATGTCTCTTGCATGTGTGACAAGCAACCCAGTACATTTCACTTGTTTTATTTCACTGTCTTGCCTGTCTATTAGATGCTTCTGCATAAAGGTTAGTCTATCTGCCTTTTGTTGTCAAAATTCCCGTGCATCTGATTTCCATTAAGACATCTTCCAAACCTTTTTACCTGGCTGTGTGGCTAGTGATTGTTACTTTTGACAATCAGCTAACTACACTGCCTAGTAACTAGGCTGACGTAAGAGACAGTTCCCTTTCAACTCCTGCTTTGATAAAGATTGGGGTTTTGTTAAAAAAACCTCTTGGAGCAGGTTCTAGCACTATTAAGTATTTTCTCCATTATTAAAATCCTTGAACATTAAGCAAAATGGTCAATGTAAAAAACATTTCTAGCATACAGTGAGTTTAATATTTAATAATTGTTCAAACCCCCCTTCATTTACTAACTTGTTAGATAAGACATGAAAGCTAAATTGGAATTATTTTCCCAATACTTAACAGATAAACTAAAGGGTACAACCAAAAAAATTCTTAGTCCAATCTTGGTGCATAAACAATTAAGTATACAATAAGTCTTCATGGAGCTAAACAATTTAAACACAACAGAGAGCATTCTTACTCCAGGAAAGTTCCTAAGGATTTTAGCAACAACTTCAAGAAATCTAACAGTTCACTTGATATTGCCAACATACACCATACACTTCTGTTGGGACACCTAAAATTCTGGAAATAAAGCTGTAAATGAAGAAACATTATTAATAATTCTGCACTAGGCATAAGGATGTCGTAAGGAAGCAGTTTTCTGTACTGAGGTTGTAGCAGGGAATCCTGTGCCATGTTTTGATGGCAGTGAAGTTAGTGATTGCGAAGCAATGGATACAATCAGCTAACTACACTGCCTGCAAACCAAGCACCACTCTTGTGATGGGGTCATGGCATTCAAACCTAGAAAAAAAGAAAACACTTCCAATAATTATATTAACATACTCTGTCTCCTCAAATGCTCTTATAACAGCAAGCAGCTGACAATAATGGAAAACTGAGGTCATATCACCCTTAGTGTTATTCTATTAAATCCAAAGTCTTTATATCACAAATTAATTGTTCTTAATAATTAAAAACTGCAGTGGATGCATCACAAAGATCATTTCAGGAGTGCAAAGACAAACCAGTGAAATACTAACATTTAAATTATTATAATGCACCACAATGGAAATGGGAAATGAGAAAAGCCTTGTCATGCAGTCCTTGCTGCATGAGTGCAGACTACGTGGTAGCTGTATTCAGAACTGGAAGTGCAAATGCAGCTGCAAGTTTGGACCAAGACAGAATGTTCAACATGAATAACGTTCTACCTGGTTTACAGTGTGTCAGCTGTTAGTGCTTATGTCACAGTGATCCTACTTATCCTTGTTCTCTAGTTGGGGCATTTGAGTTAATGTCCTACAGCACAGGTTTTGTGCAATTTCTGTTTGAAGGTTTTCAGAAGAAACAGCATGTAACCACAACAGCAGTCAGAACAGTAGAATTTCACTAGTTTCCTGAACTTCAGAAAGCATTTTTTTCCAGAAAAAATATAGGAACACAGATTGTGCTGGTAGTCAGATGTCAGGCTGCTCAAACCTTTTATATTAATTTATGGTAAACTAAAGAAATTAGCAAATCTGTTCTACAGAACAAAACTGAATATGTGTAAGTAGTTATAATCAATTATGACTTGTGTCTAATACATGTGTATGAAATTAATAATGTGGTAAAACTATTTTATATAGACTTATCAGGCTATTCCTAAACCAGGAATGAGACAGTCTGTGAGGTTGCAAGGATAAGTTTGTCTGCAAATTAAACAATTTTGCTAGCTTTCACCCATAAACACCTTATTGTTAAAATGCATAAAAGGAATTCAGGACTTACCCTCAGGAAGCTTACCTTGTGATAATCCTGTTAAGGACTGCATTTATAATAAAATACTTTGAAAGATTTAATGGAAAGGGAAGAACGGCTAGCTGCTTCACTCTTCATTTCCTTCCCTTTTCCACAGCTAGCACGGCAACCTATTCACTGAGCACGCAGCAGTCTTTCACTGGCAGATGTGCCTCTGGGTATGGTTCCTTAGGTGGCCCCTGGGTGCCCCGTCTCTTCCCCTGGGACTCCTGGGTCAGAGTGTCCCCAGTCTGCGCTGTGGGTCAGCCCCATGCCTGTAACCTTTGTGTACGTTCTGTCGTCATGGTCACTCAGCTGGGGCTTGTACATGGCGACAGGACCGTTGCTTTGAAACGTGCAGATGGCTCTTGCCATAAGAAGCTTTGTTGCAAGAGGGGTTTCCATGGGCAAAGTCAATACGGAGCACACACGGAGTTTCCACCCTGCTCCTGTGGACAAATGGCTACAGGTTGTGTCACAGACACCAAAGGTGATCCAGGCTTTAGTGTCACATGTGGCAGTCTAGGCACGTGCCTCTAGGCTGATATCTGGATATTGGGGCTTCAGCCTGGTTTTATTTATACCAGGAGCCTAGCTACCATAGAAAGAGGCTCCAAACAAGAGAGACTTAACAGCTCACAAGAATAAATGTCTCACGCTCCTGGCACTGGACTGCTGTGGGAGGCACACGCTGCACATCTTCACCCAACGGTGACCCACACCACCTCACTCCCTATTTCTTGGGGGCCTAGCCAACCATTTCTGTATGCTTACCCTTGACCTGTTTAGCTCACTGCAGTCCTCACTCCCTTGCATTTCAGGTCTTGTTTCCCTAAGTAACCCTTTTATCTTCCTCACAATCGACACCAACACAACCCCATGCTGCTGCCACTTATGTTTGGAGGGGCAGAAGGCAGATACATAAGCCCGTGTGGATTGGTACAGTGCTGGATGTCCCCAGTTTAGGATATCCTTTGCTCCATCTAGCCACACTGGCAGCCGAGGCAGAGCAGGAGAAAATACATTCTGTGCTCTGCATTGCCCCTTTTTATGTGGGAGGGGAAACAGCAAGAGAAATGCAACATGCCAGTCCCTGCTACGCTGGCAACAGTGGCAAAATGTGAGACTTAGCTGGTGATGTGATCCACAAGCACTGTAAGAAGTAGACTTTCAAGTATGTCTAGTGATTTGGGGTATCTAATTGACCTGAGATGCTTTTGAAGGGCTTGCCCTTTAGAAATTTCTGGGCACCCCATCCTCTTTGAAAACCGCATACCTCTATAAAGCCCATGTAAATTGTGTCCAGCTGGATGGCTCAAAACTCTTGTCATTTCTGAAAATCATGGCATGAAAATAGGGAGGAAGAAAGAACGGACAGAAGTAATCAACACTTGATTACATTAGCGGAAACATTTACAAGGCTATAGCAATAGCTCTTAGACTGCATAAAATAAGCCCAGGTAGCTTTGCAGTCTTTCTTTTGCTGTTTAGTTTTCAAACATGCTAGACCAGCACCAGTCTTTGTTTTTTGTTTTTTTAATTTTATTTCATTACTTACGTTGCTGAAGATTGATGATCTTAAATGAAATTATAGACATATGCGGTGCTCAAACACTTAAGATCCTCTTCAAGCAAATTTAAGTTTTCCCAATTCCTACATTGTAATATGAATTGAATTAAAAGTATTAGAAGGTGCTAAACATTGCTACACAGCCCCATGAACGGCAGAGTTTTTCTCTTCTGCAGAGGAAGATGACAGTTCACAGAATGATGGTAAAAGCAGGTCCTGAAGTCAACTGTTACAGATGGAGTTGAGACCCACAACATCTTCTATAGTTGTGGAATATTCTTCCTTAGCAGTTACATCTTGTCTTCTGGATCTGTCCTGTATGACATTGTTTTGTCATACCATTGTGGTTTGCCTGCTTACTTGCACAATATGGGTGTTCTCACAGACGTTGTATCAAAGACCTTTTACACCAGTGAGTGTTTTCCTTGGGTAGAAGGCTCCTCCTGATCAGCATAATTAGCATGGTCATATTGTCATGTTTGCTTTACATACAGTACTCACGGTAAAATCTTTAACCAGAATAATTATCTGTAAGTACCTATCACTTAGGTTTTTACAGAACACCCACTGAATAACTGAGTAATCAAGTAAAAATTAAAATCTTAATTGGAACATGGTTAATTTCTGTAATACCTAGTTTTAAGCCCTTTCATTGGGCCCAGAAAGTGTCTACTTACATAAGCTGAAAGGCAAAAATTTATGAGCAATCAACATATTATAATTTCAGTTTGTGGCTTTGATTGGAGTCTGTTTCTGTCTTGTTTCAGTCCAAAATAGTTCTTTGCACAGAGACTGCATGATTTAAATAAAGGTGTAAGTTTTTGACATCCTGATACGAGGTTTCTTCTGCCCTCTGACATAATGGCATGGGCAACTGAATTGGTGCTGTGTTCATGCAGCTCTACTATTGTTTATACGCTGCTATTACATGATATTTCTGAATGCGATCAGGACAGTATATAGCCTGACAGAGCAAATGCAAAGTGCTTTTCTCTAAGAAGATTGTCACCTAGGATGTTTTTCCATATGGAAATAACTCTGGCTTACTGATTTTCACATCCATAGTTACAAACTTCAGCTGCTTACCTGGAGAAATTGTCTGTCATCCATCATCCACAAAAATCATATGGCTTGTAGAGGAAGATTGCTACCAGCAAGCTGCACTTTGTTTTGTTAGTTCCAGGTATTCAATCCTTTAAAGCAAGAAAACTCCAAAAACTTCTGCAGGGGTGACTCTTGCCAGTAATGTGTTTAGGGAAACAGTGTTTGCTCTTGGTTTGGCCTGCAGTTACTAGAGAAACTGTGTCTGACTCTTTCCCTGTGTAGCTCATGCCTAGGCTTGCCTAGTGGCCCAGGAGACCCATAATTTAATCTGGCTAAGAATTCTTGTGCTGAGTTAGGGGCCTGATCTGAATCCCACTGAAGTCTTTGGACAGATTTCCACTGATTTTCATGAGCTCTGGATCAGTCCTGTGAATGTCCAGACACTGTAATGCAGTGTTTTTAGTGGTTTGTTTTTCTTCTCTTCCTAAGAAGGATTAAAACCCAACAGCACTATTTAATGAAAGGTGCAAATGTCTTCTCATTTATCTCATGCATCGTGACAGTCGGAACACTTGGCTATCAATCATGTTTGCAAAATCTGCTGGGATGCTAACAGTTTCTGTTTGGATGCAACTGGGGATGAGTGGGAGCACAATTTGTTGACTGTTACTTAATGGATCTCACATTGGGATGAACTGTTCAAATTTTGGTTTTGATATTTCATTTCTTAGATGCTTGTTATCCCAATAGAGTAACCAGAGCTACGTTTTCTTCAAGTCAGTGACAACTGACAGCATTATGCAGGATTTGACTTTGATGAACCTACCTAATTAAAAGAGCCAATTTTTCTTGTCACTGAAATGGGAAGCCAGAAATACCCTCTGCTATTCTGGTTTTTGTGCCATTAACAGAAATACTTTTGAACTTCTGCGTGATATTGAAAATACCAAATTAAAAAGTTCTCAGAACCTTACTTCTGTATCAATGACAACCTTAATAATTAGAGCTAACTGGATGAATTGCCAAGAACGTTACGTAAATTTTCCTGTGTTTTTCGTTATACATGTGTGCAGTTTGGCCTGGGTTTTGCCTGCTAGCATTCAAGAAATATCACCTTATTGCATGACTGATTGCACTGCTGTAATCTGGTTTCTCAGGTGAAGAGTTTGTTTACTGCTGACTTGCAGTTTGTATATTAACTATGGGAACAAGTAACTCAACAAAAAGAAGTGTTGTAGGGATTCAGACTTCTCTTTGACAGTTGTTTGTGGAATCTAGTCACTTCACTCTTTTGTCACAGAAATTCCTAACTCACAAGGCCTGCCTGGACAAGTTGGAAAAAGCAGGAAGGCAGAAGACAATTTGAAGTCCCATCAACTGATGTGTCCTGCTGATCCAAACCAGCTTGGCATTTATTGATGAAAAGACAGTAACCAGATAATTCCTGAGACTGAACTGTGTCAGGGTCAGGTCCCACATGGAAACTATGATCAAATTATGAGCTCTGGGGCAGCGGATGGACTCCCTATGACGCCTGCTGCTGTTTTGCAGTGCTAATGTTATTTTAGCCTTGATATTTCAAGAATAAAAGGAAAGCAAGGTTTATAGGAAGAAATAATATATTTTATTAGATTATAATATGATATTGGGGAAAAAAATTACATGAAGGCAAAGAAACCAGACTAAATAGCAACTTCCTAAGCTTTGGCAGAAAGGCAGCATCATCCCTAGAGGATTTACAATATGTATGTTTGTGATTGTTCATGAAACCCTGAGTGGACTAAACTGCTATTGAGAAGAACTTCAAAAACTGTAATTATGTGCATTATCTGTCATTTTTAGGTGGAAAATCTTGCTCTCATCTGATATTTTTCTGGATACTGATTTTGTCAGCAAAATTTAAAAACTCCAGATCTGTGGTAGTTGCTCCCAGCTGAATCATTTTAGGAGTAAAGACAGTAGAAGGGGGATCAGTTCATCGCATTTGCCTCATACTTTGTATGTATCCTAGCTTTTTCCTTCTGCAAAGCCTTGGGATACTTGTTTATAACTCCATTAAAAAATTATTAGACATTTAAGATACTTCATGAAGCAAGTGTTATCTTTTGGGGAAATAGTATGTGGGGACCGCAGGGGTGGCTAGATGAGAATGCTGGAATACTTTTCAGGAAATTATAGCTCTGGCAGAGCTATGAGTAAATCCTGCAGGGTTAGAATGTTACAAGACACTGCCTCTCAGGATTGAAGATTGTTCCAGTGCCATTCGGAGAGCTGACAACACACCATAAAGGATACAGTGAGTCACGAATGAGTCTGTGAACCCTAATTATAGGAGATCTGTATCTAGCTGTACCTGTTAGTCTAACCCCTCCCCATCAATAGATTCACTCTTAAAATGAGAAACAAAGCCCACTTTATTTTATAACTATTTAATATTTTTAATATTATAAATATATATATATCATATATATGTTTTATAATGCCCACTTCTTATGCAGTTCAGATACACTCTGTATCTAAATCTATGCGATCAAAAGCTTCAAGTCACTTGAGAACACTTTTTTGTTCTTTTGCCATGTCACCATGCAACAGATGTTTAAAAACAAAGAAAAATCGACATGGCTGTAAACATCGTCTTCAGTGTTTACAAGGGAATAATTTCAGATCAGAAAATTACCCATCAATTGCCTGACATTTCTAAAGCAACTTTAATCTCTAGAATAAAATTCACTCCTCGGGCATGAAAATCCAGTTTGTCTGTTCAAGAATGCTCACTTGTTGCCCAGAGCTAATTTTGCTGTGCCGGGTGCAGACATTCAGCAGCAAGTAAAAATCTTCACAGGCTGCATAGAGAGAGGCTAACCAACTCCTAAAAAAAGTTGTGTGGAAATTCTTCACAGCAATGTATAGCAGTGATTCCCTGTTGTCCTACATCATTCTCCAAAAAGCATAGAACAGGGTACCATTGCCCTCTTATGCTATACGTGAAAGGGAAGGAATGACTCATGGCTTGTGTATGGAACAAAATCCTTATGTGTCATCACAAGCAACCAAGTGCACTACTCCTGGTACTGCTAAATGCCTTTTTTGAAGGTTCATTATCTACCTCTGACTTTAATTTATCTTTCATTTCAGTGGTTATTGAAAGGTCCCCATTCGTTAAGGAAGTATTTTGATATGTGAGGAAAAGAAAGAGAAGACTTTTTTTTTTTTTTTTAATTTATTACTCATTCCTTAAAACCAGTGCTTCTACTAAACGCCTTGGTAAATCTCTTTTTGTCATGCAGAAAAAAACTGTACAGAGCAAGGAACTAACTATGTGAGTGGAGGAGAAAAGAAATCTAGAAATAACCAAAAATTCAGGGTTTAGGGTACACTTCTGTAAAGATGTGTACTTCTGTAAATTTGTGCCTTCAGACTTTATTTTTCTTAACCCCTGTCTTGTATCATAATCTATTCACAAGACTGAAATGGGAACACTTGAATTCCTTGACTGCACCATCTACAGTCAAATTAAGAACCAGTTCAAATACTCAGCTCTTTTTACCTTAATTTGTTCTTTTGTCTCTACAGTACCTGATATCTGACACTGGAGGCACAACTTCCTGAGACAGCAAAGGGAAAAAAGAACACATCAGCTATTCTCTGAATGTGTCCCAGCTGATTATTGCCTGTTTTAAACAATGAAGCATTCACATTTGAGAAACTGCTTGTGTATGAACCCTTCAACAGAGCCATTAACGCTCTATGAAATGCCTCAAAAATAAAATAACTCTATACTAATAATGTGAACATTTATATAGATCACCAGGAAGATTAATGTTATGATAAATACAGTCATACAATTTTCACCATAAAGAATACCAAATACAAGGGCTTTATAAGGAAAGTTACTGTGTTGTGTAAAGTCTGCTAGAAACAGTCAACTGCCATTGAAAAAAAATAAGTCTGGTACTATTTTTCTCACAGTGAATATTTCACATTAATATTTCACAGAAGTTTATGAGATAGACTGGTGGACACAATAGAAAACAGTACCGAATCAGTTAAATATACCCCCAAAAAAGCTGCTGATGTTGGAAGAAAATCAAGTAGATTGGAACTAGCTTTGAAACCAGCATGTTAGTTAGTCTAACAGTGCACACCTGAATATTGTTACATTCCTCAAAGCCACCTGATTTCCTGTTCTATATAAAGCCTACACAAGCTCTACTAGAGGAAGAGTGAGGGAGTATTTGGGTGGATGTTTTTTTTTTTTTTTTTGCTTGCTTCTCCCCTCTACAAGTGATAGAGGTTCTTGTAGCATTAGTTCTGTTTCTTTAATGCCTATTTGAAGCTGTTTATCAAAGCATATATTAGGTTTTTGACAGCTCCTGTGTAAGAAGGTAATATTTGTGGTCTTTATTGTATATGAAAGAACTATGTAATTGTAAGAACTGCTGGTTGTTGACTCTAATGTATGTGACCTATAATGAGCACTACCTTTTGAACTTTTTTAATACTCTGTTAACTTCCTTTGTGTGAGTGTCTCCTAGTAATGTATTACATTGATTTCATTACCCAGAACTGTATCTATCAGTTGTTTGAGAGTTGGGCTTATCTAGTCTCTATTTGTTGTGGCTTATGGAAGTTTTGCGATATCTAATCTTTGAACTTGATAGTACCTTAATGTTATTAAATCTTTCTAGTGTAGTGTCTCATCTCTACTGATGACTATCCAACAGCTAAAGCACCTTGTGCACTTCAGTTTAAAATGAAAGATGAAATTGCTGCCACAGTCTTCTTTATCACAAGGCTAGTGAAAAGGGAGGACAAACTGAGCAAGCATAAAATGGAGAAATTTGCAGCTAAGCTAACAACAATACTGTTTGAAAAGTATAAGAATCACTGGTACTTGGACAATCCATCCAGAGGACAAGCCTTCAGGTAAGAGGACCCTTAGTTGAAGGGGAGGGGGAATGGAGCCTTTGCATGACATTCAAGATGCAGTGAGTACCCTTTCAGTGCCTGGAGCCTTAAATTGGAAGTAAGTGAAAAATTTGAAAGAGAAACACTTAAGCTTGAGGAAAGAAGTGTTATTAACTGATAAAGTTGTATCTCTTTTGGAACTGGTTTCACTGGGTGTGCCTGTTGTAGGTATGACTAGAGAGCTGAGGTGGAAGTCTTAAGACAATCGTACAATGTGTTGAGTAGCCCTCTGACTTCTTGAATGAAGAATTCAAGTGGTCTTAAACTGACTTGTGGAATGGTTGCAGCTGCTACTAATTCTCTTAAAAATGACTGATGAAGTAAGTTGCTGCATTATGTGTTTAAAATAAAACCTTGTTTGGATTCATAAATCAGCTTGTTAAGCTAATTTGCTGGTTGGGGCTATATGTGCAAACTTGCATCAACCCGCTAAATGTGTTGAGAAAAGAAATAGTGAACTTAAGTGTACTTCCATTTGACCAGAACTTGCTAAGTTGTAGTGAAATCTTAAATCTGCATGTACTTTGTCCTTACTTAGGTGTATAAGGATAAACAAACATCAGACAAGGGATCCACTGCTGGAGCAGGCTTGTGTGGAGAGTAATGTGGACTTTAATAAGCTGGGTTTGCCAAAAGAGATGACACTATGGGTCGATCCGTTTGAGGTGTGTTGCAGGTGAGTTGAGCAGCTGTAGCTAACACGTATTAAGTGCCCTGTACAAACTTGATCAACTCTGTGCCTGTTACTAGAGTCTTAGTGTCTGAGGGTGTAGTTACTAGTGTTGGCTGACAACTAACAGATGTGTATCCTGCCAGTGCAGACCTGCGTTATACAAATACAGTCACTTTCAGGTATGGTGAGAAGAACCGGCCCTTCACAATTGCCCACTTTGAAGGAGAGGAAAACCCAGAGCTTCCTCAGCAGATCAGGTATGCTGTTGACAGAGCAGCACTAGACTATCATTCTGGCATTTCTTCAGATGAGGAGAGCTTCAACAAGGAGCCAAAAGCTATACCTACTGTCAGCAATCCTAACAGTGTCTATCAGGTAAGCATGTGGTAATGGTATGTGGCTTGCAATAAAAGTTAGCATCTGTTTTCTAGGTTCCATCATGAAGGAATGCAATTTAATAATTGATGGCCAGACTAATCTCCCCTCTTTCCCAAACACACTTTAACATTATCTCATTTCTTGCTGTTTAGTTCAATGATTACTGCAAGGCACCTATACAGCCCTGGTCTCAGTATCTTCATAGGAAGACCTATATGACTGATGGCTCATACTATGCCCAGCACAGGGGTTACAAAGTCTACAGGCCAACAGCTGCTTTCACGGGACCGTGTGTTGATAGATACCACTGGATCAATACCAAGCGGTAGATCTGTGGCTGTGCCTGTTATAGGCTGTTGAAACACTGAGCTATGGTATGGGATGAAGGCTGGCACTACAAAGTTTCATAAAAACAGAAAGCACTTCCTGTCTAATCCCTATGCCTTTGTACATCTGAAACTTTGGGGTTTTATTATGTAACCTTTTAAATGTTTTATTAATGTTAACGTAAGATTGAAAATGAATGTGAGACTCTACTTGTAAGCTAAAAAGGAAATGCATATATCAATAAATCCACTCATGTTTTTTTTAAAAGCCGTCTGATCTACTATCAGTGCCTTGAAGGGAGTTAAAAAGCTTTTTGGTGAAAACACAAGCAAGTCAAGGAAGATAAAAACATCCTCCAAGTTGCTTTGAATGATAGTCTGCTTTCTTCTGGCAAAGGTAGTAAGGGCAGCTGTGTTTTGAGCAAAACATCTACACTTCATAAGCAGAATCATCTCTATACTCCCCCTTCAGCGAAGCTTTGGTGTATGCAGCTGTGAAAGACTGCCTTGTGGCTCGAGCTAGGCTTTTGCCTCTAGACTATAGGTTATCTGTCAGAAGAACACAGCCTCAGGGGTAGGAGAGAGGTGAATGCCTGGTTTTGTAGATCCATAGCTGTAAGCAAATACATTACCTTGTGAAAGGATGGAGCTGTTAGCTCTAAGGAGGCCTAGCCTGCCATTTTGCAATACTGTGGCCCATAGGAAGCTCTACTCCTACCTCTAGACAGCTTGGGTCAAACTGTCTTCTAGCTAGTTTAGAACTCCCAACAGATGGGGACTCACTTTTCAGTGGAAAAGGGCTCACTGGAATTCTACTGGGCTTTGAAACTAGGCTGTGGGATGCTGTTTCCAGTTCTGAGTGAAAAAATGTGGTCTCAAACAATCAGAATCAACATAACTTTGCTCTGTTGACTTGCAGTATCTGTTCCTACTGACTGTACTTGTCACCTGCTCCACTATTGCCTGCTGATTAAACTGTGGGAAGTAAGGGGTACAGAAGTGATGTGAACAGTTTTGTTTGGTGTGTTAATCTAGTCAAAATGCTAAACAAACTAGTTCTAACAAAACTGAAAAGCTCATGTAAACAACTGAGATTGTGACTTACTGCAGCCCTTTCTACATGGTGCAGTCCAACTACTACTTAATAAGCAACGCTGGAAAAAAACCCTGCTAATACGTAGCCCTGAAGGGGAAGCATTGTTTGTTCTGTAACCTGGCACGCAGTTCAAGACTGGTGGGCTACCTCTATGAGTGAATCTAAAGAGAAGGAATTTGAATTACAGTATAGATTCCGGCTAAAATCTCATAGCCAGTATGAAAAGCTAACCTTTGCTGTGTCCAGCCACAGGTGCTCAATAAATGATATCCTAGTTTACCGTTCAAATATGATGTGGATGGGAATAATATGACAGAGGTCAGTGCACTATTATCACAGTTATGTCTCAGTCATGCTTCACACTGGATTGATCCATATTTCTTTAGAACAAACCCATCAGTCACATGTACTTTTGCGTAAGAGTTTTGCAATAAACTTGGTACTCGTAGGGTTTGGTTGATCACTCATGCAAAAAGTAAAAAATCTTCTACTTACTATAACTAATTTTCTTTTTAGAGAACTTCATTTTAGAGTCATCTTTTTTTTTTTTTTAATGTGTGAATATTGTAATCTCTGGGGTGTTGAATAAACTAAGAGGAAAGGCTTTGTTACTGTAAGTCAGAGGCAGCGTTTCCACTGTTGCAGCTTTGATAATAGGACTTGCACTCTAGTAGCTTAATCCCCTTATTGTAATCGGTAGCGGGGTTTTTTTCCTAGCAAGAACAAAATAAGCATCTGTGTATGGGGTACAGATGAGAAAACTGATGCAGCAATTCTGATAGAATGAAATGGATGCATAATTTGTGGAGTTATAATCAACTACTTCTCAGTGTCAAATATTTGATGTATAATGAGTAACAGCATTAGTGTCGAGGGTGTTCAGTGACTTATGAGATAATTTGGATCTTGTCCTGTGCTTCCATGAATTCTTCAACTGGTGGGGATGGAAGGATCTTAGTTGACACTACGCTTTCCCCACTTGCTTTATACATAAACTAGAGGCTGTGGTGAAGAGAAGAGGTAATAATTCATTGATCCGTGAATACTGAATGTTTTGTGCATTTCAGGGTTTGGCTCTTGATTTTGGAAAGAGGAGAGACTATCTTTCCAAGCTTAAGAGCAGGGCTAGATAATCTTTAATAGTGCAGGACCTGCGTTCATATGTAGGTGGTACTACAAAGCAGCAGAGGTATGGTGATTTGAGAACAACTAAAGGTTGTCTGGACTGGTCGAATTGCTTTCAGTGGTGGAGATAGATGATTTTTCTTTTTTTTTTTTTTTTTATGTGTAATTGTGTAGAGATACAGTTAATTGGGTTGATTATAGCTTTCACTATCTCAAAATCAGAAGAAAAAGTGTAACTACATCTGATGTCTGCAGAGGCTTCAGAACACGTGAAGGGGGAGTGATATATTAGTTTTTTTAAAAAAAAACTGTTTTAACACTAAGCAGACTTAGGAGTGATTCTATATTTTATTTCTGTTCCTGGAAACTCCGAGTCTGAGCTTTTGCAACAATGTTTGTCTCTTCACCATTTGGATATAGCTGGAAATGTCAGTCACTTGGGCTAAAGTCTTGTCACTTAAATTACTACATTGCTTTCACTCTTAAACTAATGAGCCTTTAGTATGACGGGGGGAAAATACATTGTAGTTAAAACAAAAATAAAAGATTTACTTTGGCTTAAAGCCTGAGGGCAAATGCAGAGGACCAAGTTAAAATCAAACCACCAAGTCCTCTTTTGAGTATTGTTACAACTTTCTACCTAGGGCTATTTTTTCTTCTAATGCATTTATTTGTTTTACCAAACAGCCTTTCTCCAAACTAGTTATTTCAAGGTAGTAAAAAAGCAAGTCTTCATTGCCTTTACTGTTTAAAAACTGGTGTTCATCCTCTATGATATGTACCAGCTCTTCAGTTAATACATCCACTTTATCCTCAAGTTCTGAAGGGGACAAGTAAGCGCATGTTTCTTCTTCAAAGCTAAAAAAATGGAAAGGAGTGCTTAAAATCAGGCAGTAGAAATGCCACTGTTAAAGTGATATCCACAGACTCCTCACAAAAGCAAACCAGAAAGACAAATTTCACTGGAACTTCTCTGCTACTGAAAATGTGATGGATCTTACAGAGAATTAATCAGTCTTTCTGTGACACACCCTGGCATCAAATCTGGTTTGTCCTTTATATAACACGCCTAGATATAGAGGGTTACTGAGACTGGCTTCGTAGTATAAAATGGGGTCATGATTTGCTTTGTATCAAACCCCTCAAACTGTTCAGTTGTTGCTGTCTTAATACAACAGTTAATACCTCCTGTCAAATTCTTACCGTGTTCTCCATTCAAAGCTGCCCTTTTCATAGCTGCTTGAGGTATGAAGAAAAGGCTCTTTTTTCTTTATAAGCAACTGGTCACTTAGTGGTTCCTCAAATTTCATCTGGAGCAACAGATTGTTCTTCATGTGTTATGCAATAAGCACAGAAGCGGAGAAAGCAGATCAGTGTTTTTAAAAGCCTTTTTATAGACTCTCTAAATATATTTTTTTCATGGTACTGCTTTTTATGCTGTCGTAATGATTTGCATGATGCCAAATAATTTTTCTCACTATGAGGTTTTTCAGATGAAAATGACAGCTACTTGTGTAACATTTGAACACAGTTATATTTGCTGGGGATCTATAGCTGAAGATATGGGAGCCCACTTCAACCCTTGCATACTTTTTCTCTTCAGTATTTGTGCTCTCAAGCTACTGAAGCAAGTAAAAAGTTTCTTCACATTGTACTTGATGGGTGGCTATGGCCTCCTACAGAATGGCAGAACGATTGAGCCTCTGGAGGTTGTGTCCAACCCTTCTGCTTAAGCAGAGCTGCCCAGAGCCTGTTGCCCAAGACTGTGTCCAGATGGCTTTTGAATGTCTCTGAGGAGGGAGGATCTGCAGCCTCTTCCAGTGCTTATCCTCTCAGTTAACAAAGTGTGTTCAGACTGAATAGCCTGCATTTCAGCTTGTGTCCCTTGCCTCTTGCCCTGTCACTGGGAACTACTGAAAAGAGCCTGTTTACACTCACCCTGCAGGTGTTTATATATATTGATAGGATCCCCTCTGAGTCTTCTCTAGGTTAAACAGATTCAGCGAGCTCAGCCTTTCCTCATAGGAGAGACCTCCGGTCCCTTAATCATCTTTGTGACACTTTGTTGGACTCTTTCCTGTATGTCAATTTTTCTTTTGTACTGTGGAGCCCAGAACTGGACACAGAACTCTAGCTATAACCTCACCAGTGCTGAGTAGAGTGGAAGGATCACTTCCCTTGACCTTTTGGTAATAATCTGCCTAATGCAGCCTAGGCTAGTTAGTCACCTTTTCAGCAAGTGCACATTATTGGCTCATGTTAAACGTTGTCCACCAGGACCGTCAGATCCTTTCCTACAAATCTACTTTCCAGCTGGGTGGCCTCTAGCATCTATTGGTGCATGAGGTTGTTCCTTCCAAGGTGCAGGACTTTGCACTTCCCCTTGTTGAACTTCACAAGGCTGCTGTCAGCCTGTTTCTCCAGCTTGTTGAGGTTCCCTTGGATGGCAG